CTCTGCGGGAAGCCTGCTTCTCCCTCTCCCCCTCCCCCTGTTTGTGTTCCCTCTCTCGCTGTGTCTCTCTCTGTCAAATAAATAAAATCTTTTAAAAAAAAAATGGAAAAATAGGGGCGCCTGGGTGGCTCACTTGATGGAGCATCTGACTCTTGGTTTTGGCTCAGGTTGTGATCTCAGGGTCGTAAGATCAAGCCCCATGTTGGGCTCCGTGCTCAGCAGGGAGTCTGCTTAGGATTCTCACCCTCATCCTCTGCCCCTTCCCCGTTCATGCTCATGTGCTTTCTTGCTCTAATATATAAATCTTCTTTTTACAAATAAATAAAAATGGGAAAATATTCAGTAGCATTTAGGGTAAATGTAAAGAACTATCTGGTTATTAGATATTTTCCTTTTCTGTGGCAGGATTCCTCATGTCCATAACATGTTGGTTAAGGCTGTGCAGCTCACCCCCACTCTCAGAGTGGCCAGTCTCCATTAATTGGACCCCGTGATTTCCACTCTGTGCTGTATTGGACGTCATGAGCATTGCAATCCCTCTGGGAGTCACCACACCAGATACATCCTACTCAGATATGGCTGCTGGATCAGAGTAAGTGCTACTTTCTGGGTAGTAGGTGCGTTACCAGTTTGTGTGGAAATAACTTCTTATGGGCATCTAATAATAAGTATGCAGTATTTTCTAAACCCAAGCCTAGCCCACTGTAAATGACATTAGACCTTTCCCTTTTTGCCCATAGAAGCTGGAGGAAAAAAAGAGTTAGAAAGGGAAGAAAAAGAATTGGTGGTGGGGGGTTCTTAGTAAATAATGTAATTGAATTGAATTTGCACGGTAGTGATTACATTTTCATTTGTTTTGATGGGTGGGAAAGATTGAAATAAAGTAGGTGTCACTACGTGCTTCTGTAGAGTTAATGATTATTCTGAGGATGGAGATAAGGAGGAGTTCTCTCCAACTGATTTTCCTTGAAGGCCTCTTCCTATGTACTTCTCACTGTTCTAGAGTAAAGGGGCTAAAACTTGATTTGGGCAGGTTACTTAGAACTTCTCATATTTGGGGTAGAAAACATTGAAAGCAGTGTCATCTGTTTTTATAAAATATTCATTGCCTAGAAAGAGGACCTTCAAAATCAGTGGTACCAAACTTTTTTTTCAGCTAAGAGCAGCTTTAGGAATTCAGAGTTTGTCGAAAAGCCCAATCCCTAAAATAGACTCAATTCTTGAAGAATTTAAATACCAAATGGCAATGAAGGTAGGCCTTCATTATAAAACTTTATATATTATTCACAGTTTAAAAAATTTTAGCCTTTTGTATCCCTTCTCTTTTAAGTTGTCCAAGATTCCCCCTGCTCACAGATTCCCCCTCTTGTCCTTTTACCTCCCTTGTACCCAATCTTCCTTGCTTACAGAAAGGAAGTGGAAGCCCCCTACCTTTCAAGACGAAGTGGCACTACACCAGGATGTGAAAGTCCAGCGAAAGAGACCCAAGGGGCCTAGGGGGCAGCACACCCCCAGAAGCCAAGTCTATTCCAGGCAGTACCAGGGATTAGGGTCTGGGCTGGAAAAATCCTGGTGTTTTGAATATGTTCAGGTCCAGTTCAGACTCTTGATCCCACAGCCACTTCTTGAGTGAGGTGGGTGTTGCTCTAATTCCCCTGTTTCTCTTGCCATTTTCATAGTCCCTGGGGATTCTTCCCCCTTCAGCAAAGCAAAGCAACTGTACCAGAGCTCTGGGTTCAACTGCATCCCTGATTAATAGTGGTTTTCTTCCTTAAAACTGAGAATGTAGTAAAGAGCATGTATGTTTTCTTCACAAAGCCACCTAGGATTACTTGTCTATTGTCTTCCTTAAAGAGGAAGACTTAAAATGAAGCTACCCCAAGAAGCAGTATACTATATTCTGGGGTAGTTGAGAACTGAAAGTTTTTGGCCTTATTCCCATATAAAAAGGAAGATGGAGGGTGGGGGTTGGGAAGGGTGGAATTGTGTTCCTTCCAGGGCTTTTTTTCCTGTTTTGTTTTGTTTTTATTTATTCTTTTTTGCATGCCTGAGAGATTCAGTTATGCCGGTAGCTGAGACTTCCAAGTTTCTAACTATTTCCCAAGTACTTAAAAAATCTTCCTGCATTAGGAACTATAATTGTATAGGGTTAACAGAATTTTATAAAGTCAACCACTACCTATTACATGGATTGACTAACAAACTACACAGGTAGAGAGCATTAACATTTGTGAGAAATTTCAACAGAGAGATTAAGAAATGACTTTGGGACTAGTAGAGAAAAAAACCTAAAGCAATTATTCTTAAAACTGGTGTTTTTCCCAGAGTGCAGAGATCACCACCAATAAAAGCTGCTAGGGAGTCCAGAAGTATTTGCAGACTTTTGGCCTAAAAATTTGACTATGATGTTTCTATTTCCTGAAACATTTCATCTGTAATTTCTTGACAGATTTCTGATACTGTTATACAGTTATTCGTTTAGTATTTCTACAAAGCAAGAGAATGTCGGCAATTAGCTTATGTACCATTCTGTTACATTTTAGATGATATTTGTTGTTTCACCATGCTTATTTCACTGTCATGCATATTCTGTTCTGGGCACTCTAAAATTAAACTTGGTATGAAGAGCAACATACTCAACTTGAGTAAAAGACCTAGACCTTATTTCATGGGATTTTAAATCTGATAACAACAGTAGGCATGCATTTTTTATGTATTTGTAGGAGAACCTCTAGATAAAACAGTAAAAACAAGGATTTTTCTGAATTTACAGTTCTGCTGTAAATGAATTTCATTTTCCAAGAGGTTAGCATTATAGCAGCAGGTTACATGTTGTCTTTAGAACACAATTGATGCAATATCTGTTGTAAGCATGGCTTCTGTGTATGTGCCCAGCTGTCATAGTAGTTCAAACATAGGCTATAATTACATTTGCATAAAATGGTTGGCTAATAAGGAAGTGCAATCCTAACACTTCAGATTTTTAATCCATATTTTGAAATATAGATAAGAGCTGATATATATGTCACAAAATAACCTAGGAAATTGTATAGTTATCTGTCAACATGTAACTATTTAATTAATAGCCAGCATGGAAATTGCAGAGTTTCCTCATCAAATGATATGAGCTTAAATTTTAATATTTGGCACGCATAGCAATATATTAAATGCTGTGCTTTACTAGAAAGTATTGTCCAGTGGGATGGCCTTTTAACCTCCACAAAATACATTTTATTTTTATTCCCTAGACTTGCACATGAAGTGCATATGTTCATATTTACCCAGTTGGAGATGGGTAAGATACAACCAACATAGCTCCATCTCCATGGCCATCTTTTATTTCATGCCACTTTTCCTTTTTCCCGTCCAGAAAAATTCCATTTCTAATAAACAGCTGCCATGTTTCACCCCATGTGTTCAGTGGTACAAAATCTCTTATATAAAATACGTACAGCTTTTTTGGAATACTTGTTTATCTAGTGAATTAACAATGTTGAAAGTTATTACTTTCTCTTAACTGTCCATCATAGAAACTAAATTCTGCCTTCATTTTATTAATGCTTGTTTGCCTTCAGTTTCATTTAGGAAACCCCACCTGTTTCCTAATACTCAGAGCTGATTGCCTCTCAGTGAGCCATGTCAGATCATCTTTTCTCAAGAATACTGACCTGCATTCTTGATGTACCCCCCACCCCAGATCCCATCTTGCAGACACTCTTAAAGAATAAAATGCATGCACTTCACTAACAGAATACTTTCCTATGTCTAAAGTTCTTCTTCACCTAGAAATTACCTTTGCTGTTATTAATAAGATCCCTTCTCACAGTTTTGGAGCATATAACTGGGTGAGTTGGATATATCTCAGAATTTTCTTTTATCCCTCACTTCTCAGCTGACATTGCACCACATTGAACTGCACACTTTATTCCTGCCAAGTACTGTGTATTGTATACTTGCAAGCAGGAAAAACGTATGTTCATTAAAACAAACTATGCATTATTTGATTCCCTAAAAGACCCTTAGATCTCCAAGGCTGAGTTATATGTGTCCTTGGAGTTTCCAATTTGTGAATCTCTGTTTTAGTTAATTTAAATGACAGATAATCCATTATTGAGTTCAGCAAAGTCATACGATTTCATTCCTTAATTATCTTTCAAAATTCCCTAAAAGTTAAACCAGGTAACAATCAGAGTTAAAAGTTCTTTTTTCCCCAAAACTTATAGTTTGTCCTTTGTCACCTATGCCTTTTTATTATCAAGTAAAGGCTTACAATTAAATTTCTAAATTTGTACACATTTATAATGTTTTTATATTAACAAATTATACTTGAACATTTTGCTTTCCACTCAGTGAGGGTATGAAAAAATATGAAACTAGGCTTCTCAATAAGCCTGGTTACTTAAATTTTCATATCATTTTCTTTAAAGATAGAATGTTATCCTGGTTTTCCAAACCAGTTAGGCACAGTGGAAAGACCACAGGATTTGGAGTTAGACATTGTTTCAAATTCTGGCTCTGTCAGCATGTGACCTTGGTGACGTCACGTAATCTCACCACCGCAACTTCTTCTGTAAAAATGGGGTGCTATTTACCATGTTTACTAGTTGCAGAGTAAATGAATTAATGTATATAAAAGCACCTAGAAAATAATGAGCGATTCAGAATGGTAGCCACAACTCCTCTTATTATTTGTCAGTAAACAATAACCTCTGAGTACAGTTTTGATTATTTTGAAGTTCTGTGGTATTACCATGCAGCTGTTAAGTAATTGTGTCCTTGATATGCTTGCATGTCATTGGTGGATGAGAAATTATTACTCTAATATTTGAAAGGTGTTTGGGGGTTCATCAAGATGAGAGGTATGATAAATATAAGATGCCGTTGTTTTTACCTGTACTTTCTTCAGGGTATCCTGTCTTGGTAGTGAATGGAAGAGGGCCTGGTCCCTGGGGCAGTGCAGAAGGCACTTTCATCATCTCACTCACTGCAAATGTCATGTGAGGTTTCATGGAAGTATTAAGAGATCCAATTAAGAAGAATAGTTCTGAGTCTAAACCAGCCCAGAGTGGCTTCTCTAGGGGAAACTCCCTGCTCAGCTGGTACGTTTGTGTTTGTCATTAGGGACACCTTGTATTCCAGGTGCCTGCCTTGAGACATCTGCCTATACTGGCTTCATGTTACACACAAGTCCACATTTAATAACACTCCTGTTATTTATAGGCTTAGTTATGTTAATCAGATTGTTTCACTGAGTTCCTTCTCTTATTCTAGTGGCTGGTGGTTGTGGAAAAGAGGAGGGGTTAGCATGGGAAGTTAAAGTCTTAGTTTAAGGGAGGATTAGGTGTTATGCTATCATGCGTTGCTTTTCGCCTTTGTGCAGCCCTGAATCTGTGGAGGCTAGTCCAGCAGTTAATGAGAAGAGCGTGTATTCCACTCATAATTATGGGACCACTCAGAGACATGGGTGTCGAGGACTGCCTTATGCTGTGAGTATGCATTTGTTTCTCTCCAGAGCAGTGATCTTCCTGGAGTGTAATCCATTCTTATACATTGTGACTTTCTTGAAATGTTTATATGCAGCATGACGAAGTTGCCCCTTTTGCACTTCCCTGCCTCCAGCGGACGTCTAGCCCTGCATCATTGTTCTTGTTTTTATGTCCCAGTTGACCTTGGCATTTTGTTTTATCACTTTCCTGGTTGAAGCCAAAAAACAAAGGGTACTACTTTCTTCTTTCTTTCCATATGTACCATACTTTAGGGGAGAGAGGGGCCAGTGTTTGGACACTGTTGATTTAAAAAATCTTATTTTCAGGATCATAATTACGGAGCCCCTCCTCCTCCGACACCTCCTGCTTCTCCCCCTGTCCAGACGATCATCCCTCGTTCTGACCTGAATGGCCTGCCGTCGCCCGTAGAGGAACGCTGTGGAGACAGCCCGAACTCTGAAGGAGAGACTGTTCCTACCTGGTGTCCTTGTGGTCTTTCTCAGGATGGCTTCCTTCTCAACTGTGACAAGTGCAGGTAAGATCATGCTCCATCTCAATTCAAGCCTGGGTTGCTGGGATTAGGGTTTCTTATTAGTAGGGAAAAGCTCAAAGTATTCTTTCTTGTGTTTGTTAATGTAGATGATTCCTTAGTGCTCCTTGGCTCGAATTCTCTGCACTAGGTGAGAATTGCTGACAACAAGGAATGAGAGATTGATGTTAAAGCTATTGAATTTGATATGAAATTTAATGTCCTGGAAACATTTGGTAGGTGGGAGGAAGGGGGTAGTATATGCAGAGACACTTATCCCATGTGTGCGACGATGTGCTGCATGCTGTTGGAAGGACTACTTTAAGTTTATTTTCCCTCTTTAGGGGAATGAGCAGGGGGAAGGTTATTAGACTTCATCGGCGGAAGCAGGACAACATATCAGGTGAGCCAAAAATGGGTTGGGCCCATGTTTTGACAGATAAATATTTTGTGATTTAAATAATCATCTCAAGAACTCCTGTAAGTCCCCATGGTCCCTAGCTTTTCATGGAAAGAGAAAGCAGTTCTCTCACAACCACTGTGTAATTCTCTTGTTCTGAATTAATGTCTCCAGAAACAACATTTTAGCCCCAGAGCAATCAAAATATTCCTTATGAGCACACATACCAAATAACACAGATCCTTTTTCTCTGTTAACATATTGAGGTGATGGAGCTTGGGGACTCAGTACAAGGGGAAAATATATACGATGTAGAACAGAGTTTCTATGCTTGATGCCAGTGATAGAGAAAGAACCTTGTTTTCATAAGAAAGGTGGGTATTTATGTTCTACAGATGACAGAGCTAATGGAAGTTATGATTCCCAAATATGGAAAAGGAATAAAGATATATAAGCTGCTTTTAATGAACTTTTGACACTGTTTGTACAACGTGTGAACTATGAAATAACTTTTTTTCAGGTGGGGATAGCAGTGCAACAGAAAGCTGGGATGAGGAGCTTTCTCCTTCCACTGTGTTGTACACAGCAACACAGCACACACCTACAAGCATCACCTTAACTGTTAGAAGAACCAAACCCAAGAAGCGGAAGAAGAGTCCAGAAAAGGGTCGTGCAGCAGCAAAGACGAAGAAAATCAAGGTATGGAGGGTAAAAGTATCTTAAATAGAAATATGTCTGAAATAGCCCAAATTTTGGAACAAGAGGGCACCAAAATTCTTTTAAGAAGTTTGATCCAGATGTTTGAAGGGCCACTTTTGCTCTGCTTGCAAAAATCGGCTAATCTATGTTGTGAACATGTAGACCAACCTCTCTTCTGCCACTCCATACCATCACAACTGGCACAAAGTTTCTTCTACTCCAAACCCCATCCCAGGTATGAAATCCCAGCCCCACCTGGCCAAGCCCGTATGTGCTGCAGCCTCCAGTCTAGGCTTCCACTGTCCTTCATTATCTCCCCACCTCCTCAGTCCCAAGGCATAGTCTGAAATTCTTGTCCTGGTACATGCCCACCTCATGTCATTGGGTTGATTGTTTTTTCCTTGTTTCAAAAAAGTTAGGAAACATCTCTTGAATGATCTAGGCTTCCTCAGTTTTGTGGTCACTTTCCTGTATTCTCAACTAAAAAGTCTCCAGGAGAAACCTCTTCTGTTTTGTGTTCTTTCTTCCCCATCATGGCAACTTTGTTGCTCCTAGGTGACTTGTCTACCCCTTGTTAAGGGGATTGGTCTTTGTTTTCTTCTTAATTTCAAAACTGGTAAATCTGCAACCTTATGAAATGTTTTTATTTACTTTTTCTTCTAGTGTCAGGGGTGCATATAGGATTTAAGTGATGCATGCTCTTCCCTGTTAATTACCTAGATTCACCATGGAAAGTTAGAATTAGTCTCAAAGTTCACTGGCCTTGAGCTACCCCTATTCTTGGATAATAGCGTGGGGGATTCCATTGTATTTGTTACCTAGGGAAAAGGGGACAGACTAAAACACTAGTTCTTGCCTTAGTTTTAGTCTCAGATAGGTATAACTGTCATTCTTGGTACCAAGTTTTGTTTTGTTCTACTTGTTTTCCTCTTTGGGATAGGCATTTCGAGAGGGATCCCGGAAGTCCTTGCGGATGAAGGTAAGGGGTATTCTTCCCTGATGCTGTGTTTTACTTCACTGTGATCTTGCATTTTGGTCAGCTTCTTTCCTGACATTGATGGTCTGGGAATCTTGGACTCTGCTTTTTGTTAGTTTGTAATTGTTGCCATTCAGTTTTCATAGAGCCTTTCTCCAAAGTAGGTTTTCTTGGCCATTTTCTGAAATATTTTCCCTTTCTGTAATCAGCCTTCATTTACTGGTTTTTCATTAGCTGCTTTTCTGGGGGGCGGGGGGAATGAAGGGGGGTAAGTGACATTTACCAAACAAAATGGGGCTGATGTGTTCTGTCCTTCTAATTGGCCTCAACCTCAGGACTGAGGTTTTTCTAGTGATACAGGATCTCTTGTGCACCCACCCTAGCACCATGTGGGCTTTAATCACCAGTTGGAAGGATAAATTTCATCAGTTAGGAAAGTAGTATTATCAATAGGAATTACTCTTACTGGAATTACTTAGTTTTGAATTGTTTTTTTCCTGGAATATCTGTTTGGTATAGAAAATTCAAATGATGCTAGTGTTTTTCTTTTCTTCAGTTATCACAAGATAAGAGCTTATAAGGTGATACTGGATAGTGGTTGGAGAATTGAGAAATTACGTGCAATGGTTTAAAAGGACTTTTAGGTACTGGATGATAAAGAACAGTTTGCCCAAAGGAGATTTGATTATACTGTCTGGTATCTTCCTTTACCTTTGTATATGTAGGAGGACAGCATAGCTCCCAATTCATTACTTACGGCTTCAAAACATTTACTTAGAATTAAGATCTAATTTAATTCTGTAAGAATTCCTATCCCTAAATGTGTAAATGATAAGAAGCAGGATCTTTGCTGTTGACAGTTAGATGGCATAAACATTAAAATCTTTTAGTAAGGAAATGCTTTATTAAGGTTAATATACATAAGTATATATGGAACACCAATATAACTGATGTTACCAAAGATCATAGGTGACACTTCATCTAAAATTTGAAGGTCTCACCTAGCGTATACCTATAAACAGGCTTGTACATATCTGTAAAAGCAATGGGAGAGGACTCAGAGCCCAAGAGCATCAGAGTCCTGGGATGTCTTGGAACACAGCCTAATTGTTATTTTTTTGCTAAATCTCTCTCCTGTAAGAGGTTACATTTGCCTTAACTGCCCCCTCTATTTTTGTCTCATTTGCTTAGAGGGGACCTTAAATAGACTTAATGGGGCAGACATAGCCCCGATCCCAGCTATTAAGCCTTTTTCTCTTTTATCAGCTAACTGTTGTAACTTGCCTCCAAATGTTCGAAACCTTTTGAAAGCTATTGACTGGCTGCCCCTGAAAACTACTTACAAACCTGTCTACATGTAATTATTGCTTGCATTTTCAAGATGTTGACAGTTCCATAAGCATCCTAAAATTTAAATAATAAAAAAATACTGTCAGTTTATTTTGATTCTTATATCAGAATCTAAGTTGGGTTACAAATTTGTACTCAGAATTATTAGTAAGAGCATCACCAAAGATGTGGTTGAGAGCCATAACAATGGGAAGTATTTATCATTTAGATTTCTAATCCCAAAGTCAAAAGCTTGCCTACTGGAAACTGCTCTTAGCCACTAGGTGCCAATAACACATAACACCCAGGTGTGGTAATCAAATGTTATTTTGTTACCAGATATTACCAAATATCTCCTGGGGACAAAAATCACCTCTGCTTGAGAACCATGCTCTAAAATGCACTGAGTTGGGGTCTCAAGTACCCAGAAGAATGGAATAGCAGAGTAGTTAGTCAGAGTTGTATTAGTGAACAACAGCTAGTAATGTGACAGTGGCTTCCAGTATACATTAAGTGTGGTAAGTCATTGGTTTAGTGATCACTACTGAATGCTTAAACCTGGGAATAGTGTTCGGGCACCCCTAATCCCCAGTCTGATAAGCACCCCTACAATCTCAGGTTTTGAACTTTTCTTTTGCTTAGCTGCTCCTGATAACCTCAAGCAGGTGATACTGTGTTCTCAGTGTGTTGGCCCCAGATGTTTCTTAGATCCTTTTGTTTATTGTTCATTCTTTTGGACTCCGGTGAGAAGGGCAGAAAACAAAGGCATTAATTTTTTCCTTTTATTTCCCTGTTCCTTGGGGAAAGGATGGTAGACAACAGTCAATCACAAACAGTGACACAAAAGTGAAAGAAAGCAGTTGTTAAAATAGACATAAATGTTTTCTGTGTCATTCATGGAAAGTATATTTAATTTTCTTATGCCTGTATTTGCAACTTGAGTATGGACATGGATTTGCAAGTAGCTTTGGTACTATGGTATCTTTTCCTTCTAGTCATCACTGGTATAACATCATCACTGTCGGTGTTGGTTTTATTTTCTGATGACACTAAGTCTTTGAGACCATGGAGGAGAACACGTGTCAGACTTAAACTGTGTCTCTGTATCTCAAACATAAAAACTGTCTGTTTAGGATAACATTTTTGAGATATAATAATCTTTTCTCAATATTGTCACCATACAGGGCAGTGGTTTTCCTAAAGAAGTATAGCAAAGTACCTCCCAGCATTTCCTACACTGTCTATGCACTCCCCTGCCCCCACCTCACCTCTTCAGAGTGCAGCTGTTTAAACTGTCAGAAATACAGTGCTAGAAAGATACACTCTAAAATGATGACTTTGTCTTTGGGAAACGAGATTACAGGTTATTTATTTAGGTCGCATGTATTTTTAGAATGAACATGTATTAATTGTATAATGAAAATAACAAGTCACACAAAAAAATTCTCCTGGAGAGTAGTGAAATAATATCAACTTAGGCTGGTGCACAGATACTCAATAAGTATTGAAATTTAAACTGTAATCTTTTGAGGTATCTCTCTTGTTTGTTTTTATCAAGATTTTCTTATGAACTTGATGTCATTTTTCTGATAAGAACAAAATTTATTTCTGTGATTTAAAAATGGTCATAAAATCACAGTGATGGGATAGGACTATGATCCAGATTAATTTCTCACTTTATTAATGAGGAAACTAAGCTTGTCTAAGAAGTTGTTCAAGGCCTCACATCTCATTGGTAATGAAACCATGATTAGAAGTCAGATCCCCTGACTCCCAGGCCATTACTCTTTTATGCCACACCAGCTGCCAAGTGAAAATAAATTTTCTCTGGAAATTCAGCCTGTTTTCCCTCCCATTTTTATGCATGGATTCTCCTAACCTACCTGACCTTTGTTCTCTACAGAATTCTCCTTCTGAAGCACAGAATTTAGATGAGAATACAACTGAGGGATGGGAAAATCGGATAAGACTATGGACTGATCAGTATGAAGAAGCTTTCACTAATCAGTACAGTGCAGATGTACAGAACGCCCTTGAACAACATCTACATTCTAGCAAGGAATTTGTGGGCAAACCTGCTATTTTAGACACTATTAATAAGACTGAATTGGCCTGTAATAATACAGTTATTGGTTCCCAAATGCAGGTAAGGATCAAAGGGTAAAAGACTCCCTATAAGTAGTTGAGACTTGTCCGAACCCAGGAAGAGGGCATATAATGGGATTATCATTTCTTTCAAATGTATGAGCTCCTTAGAATAACAAATTAGCCAGCTGTTGAGCATCTTTAACCAAAAGCAAGTTGTGACTGGAAACTGTCTGGATACGTATTTTTAAAGTATTAATTAAAAGTAGATAAATTAGGATAGGAAATTTTATACAGCCTGAGTAGGAATTTTCAAGATTAATAGAAAGCTAAGCTTGTTCTTTATCATTGACATAGAGCCACTAAAATCTTTTTTTTTTTTGAGCCACTAAAATCTTAATCATATCTTTTTCTATGATATTTTCTTATCTTTTGTGAGGGACCAGGTGACCAGTTCATTAAGTGGAGCTTGTCTCCTAGAATCTCTGATCATTCAAAAATTTCTGATTATTGAAAAAAAAAAATTCTGATTTTTGAGCTAAATAGCATACAAATAAAACCTAAAAATATTGGTGCCTTTTCATCAATTAGGAAATACTTTAAGTGTCTACTGTGCTGCTCTGGCTGTTGTCTCATGTTAATCCTCTGGTTTTATGCAGCTACAGTTGGGAAGAGTCACTCGTGTTCAAAAGCACCGGAAGATCCTGAGGGCTGCAAGAGACTTGGCTCTGGACACTCTTATAATAGAGTATCGAGGGAAAGTCATGTTACGACAGCAATTTGAGGTCAATGGGCATTTCTTCAAAAAGTAAGAACATCATTCACTGAGCGGTGAGGGCTTAAGTGGGCCTGGCAGAGCGGTATGGCTGTATTAAAAACATCCTGGTTGATAGGATGCTCTTGGGGAACAGATTAGAGCTCAGATAAGCTCACACCTGTCTGCTGTTTGTAGAAGTGCAAATAAATCTGCAGATTGTTTAATGTATAAAGTGGTAATGACTCCTTTCCAAGCCAGGCATTCCTTGCTTTGTGCTTGTTCTTTAATCAAAAGCAGACAAGCATGTGATGTTTTTCAAGTTTAGGCATTGCAGATGACTGCTGCTTCTTCTGTCAGCATATGCTTCATATTTGTGGTGAAGTCATGGGGTGGCCCTTTTATTTGTGTTGAAAATTACAGGAATTTCAATTATATCCCTTAGACCGTACCCCTTTGTGCTCTTCTACTCAAAATTCAATGGTGTAGAGATGTGTGTGGATGCACGTACTTTCGGTAATGATGCTCGGTTCATCAGAAGATCATGTACACCAAATGCAGAGGTAAGATTTCTGTAGCAACTTCTGTTTGAATGGAACCACCAAAGGACAAATCTACTGAAGAGGCAGTCTGAAAACTTCACCCAGATTAATTTAAGGTCTGTAGATAATAATTATGATCTTTTATCATAAGAGACCAAAAAAAACGTAATGATGCTTTTATTCTGACTCGATGGGGACAAGGAATGAGTTTCCTTAGAGAAGGAAGAAATGGGAAAAAGCAAATTAAGCATCTGCTAAAGAGAAAGAGCTAGACTGGATAAGAAGTCATTGAGGTCATATTAAAGAAATTACCATATGCTAGAACATGTCATTAAGCCCAAACTAAGCTGTGTGGTTGCACTTTTTTAGGTTTTAGGTAATAGTATTGTAAGAGAGGTTCTAGACATTTCTAGAATTCATTACTCAGTGCATAATCAGTGCAGCTACATCAAATACAGCAAGAAAATCCACAGAACTTCTCTTGACAGGCTAAGGAATTTTAATTCTCTGATGCAACTGAAAACAGCTTTAAGATGTAGAGCAGAGATCTTACCCTAATTTCTAATATCTCAAGGTTTCTCCATTTATTTCAAGAAGTATCATAAATTTTCAGACAGTTACTATGTAACAGTTTCTTGTGAAATGATGGAGTTACGTAAAAGACTACCATAACTTAAGTGGAGAGAAATGATTTTGGCAAAAGGTTTTTTCTATCTTATGGAGAGTTCCTGGGTCTTTATGGTATATCATCAATCATAAGCCATGTTCACACAGGTGCGACACATGATTGCAGATGGGATGATTCACCTGTGTATCTATGCGGTATCTGCCATCACCAAAGATGCTGAGGTCACCATAGCATTTGACTATGAGTACAGTAACTGGTAAGACCTACAGAACCTTTCCTACATGAATGGCCTTGTCTTACATATTAAGCTCTTCTATTGGTCTGCTTTTGTTCCTTGTCATTTCCTTTTTTTTTTTTAAACCTAATCTTTTCTTAAGTAATGCATTTTTGTCTAGAAATTGTGTAGGGAAAGACAGACTTAGAGCAGTTTTTTCCTAGAGATACAGATACATAGTATGTCACGTCTCACCAGTCTCCTAACTAAAGGTGTTTTGTCTTTATATCTCTATATAGCAAGAACAGTAAAAAGGGTAGGTATGAGACACTCCTAGAAATTGCATCTGTTGTTATACACATAGGACTTGTTCCAGGGACCATACAGAATGAAAATTTTAAAATTCACCCCATCCAAAATAAATAAATAAATAAGTAAGTAAGTAAATAAATAAATAAAATAAAATAAAATTCACCCCATCCACTCAAACCATGTAATCTATCTGAGTGTGAGAAGGCAGACAAAACAGAGCTGGCAAGTCATAGATAAATATGTGATGGATTTTGTAAAATGATCCTTTTTCTCCCTTGGTCCTTTTAGGCCAAAAAGGTTATTTGGTAAATTGATGTTCAGCACAGGTAGGAGAAGAATAGGTATTAGGAATAAGTAGGGAATCAGTAGTTCAAAAGTGAGGACGTGGTAAAGGTAGATGCAAGGGAAGTATCACCTTTTCAGGCCCTATTACTGATCCACTGCCCACTAAATAGCATAAAGACATTAAGGGAGAACTGAACTTAGTGAAGGTTTCCTTTTTTCCACTGACCATATGTAGGGGAAGAGTTAGGGTTATATAGGAAAACACTGAATATTGAAAAGTATTCACAGGAGTGCCTGGGTGGCTCAGTTGGTTAAGCGACTGCCTTCGGCTCGGGTCATGATCCTGGAGTCCCGGGATCGAGTCCCGCATCGGGTTCCCTGCTCAGCGGGGAGTCTGCTTCTCCCTCTGACCCTCCCCCCTCTCATGTGCTTTCTCGCTCTCTAAAATAAATAAATAAAATCTTTAAAAAAAAAAAAAAGAAAAGAAAAGTATTCACAGGACTCTAATGTGTCTGTTTAACTTATTCAAAGATACAGTAGAGGAAATTACTGTTACTCCAAGAGAATGAATTAACAGTATGACTGATTTTGCAAGGTTACTGAGACAGGCACTTTCGGTTGTTTCTTTGGAGCAGTAATTATAAAGTGGACTGTGCGTGTCACAAGGGGAACCGGAATTGCCCTATACAGAAAAGGAATCCCAATGCTGCAGAACCACCACTCCCACCTCCTCCAAGCTTACCCACCATCGGAGCAGAGACAAGACGTAGAAAAGCACGACGGAAAGAGCTAGAGATGGAGCAGCAGAATGAGGCTCCAGAAGAGGATAACAATCAGCAACCAGAACAAGTTCCTGAGAAAGCAGCTGTGTCCAGTGATCATGAGGTAATCTTCCCCTGGTCAGAGAATGTTGCTATGGTATTGATTCTCTGCAAATAAAGAGGATCCGTGGTTGCCACATGTTATTATATGTAGGGAGTCTATAATAACTTTTAATGCCCTTCATGTCAAGGTGGGCGTGACATTATTCATTGCCTTTCTCTTTTTTAATAATGTCAAGAACGTCCTTTCAGCTGCTTTCCATGTTTCAGTTCAGAGAATGGTGCTTATCATCTGCATCTACTCACATGAATAACACTATAAAGCATTAGAAGTTGTTTCTAGAGAGTTTTAGCTACCAGAAAAAAACAGACCGCTTTTTCTTAGAGCCTAAGAGTACAGCTGAATATCGCCTCTGTTTTAAAGGAAATAGACAATCCAGAAGAAAAAGGAGAAGAAGAGAAAGAAGAAGTTACAGATGACCAGGAGAACCCAGCTTATAGCAGAAGGGTGGGTACCTTCTAACATCCTTTGGTTCCTGCTACCTCTGGCTTGTGAACCCCTTCTCTTCTTTTTTTTTTTTTAATAAATCTTCTGTTTTGTTTCGTTTTTAAAGATTTTATTTATTTATTCATGAGAGACAGAGGGAGAGAGAGAGAGAGAGAAGCAGAGGGAGAAGCAGGCTCCCAAGGAGCAGGGAGCCCGACGCGGGACTCGATCCCAGGACCCTGGGATCATGACCTGAGCCGAAGGCAGATGCTTAACCATCTGAGCCACCCAGGCGCCCTGAACCCCTTCTCTTCTGAGTTTCTATCATCTCATTCTTTAACAAGATACTAAACCGTCACCTGCAGATGACAGTTGGGGCTTTTTTTTAGTAAAGGAGATTTCATTATGATTTATTTTTATCTCTCACACACACACACACACACACACGTTATCTAGTGACTATTATCTAATGATGGTCTTAAGAGGTTTCTTATTAACAATCTAGTTTCCAAAGAACTAGATTGCCTTGTTGGAACTTGTTGGAACAAGATACATGTGTTGGGGCTCCTTTTTCTGGAATTGTGTGAGTTTTGACATAAAAATAAAACTTTTGGTCACATGGATTCAGAATGCTACTCTCTTGTTGAAGCCAGCCATGTTTAGTTCTGGTCCTAAAAAGTGAAAGAAGATCTGCTTTGTTACTTTTGAATTCTGAAAATCAAGAGAAAAATTGGTTTTGATTGCTGTTTTTCTTTTATATTAGAAAGTTTCAAAGTAATTGACTATTCTGAAAAGTTTAGATTTGACCTTGCCTTTTTCTACAATTCTTTCCAACATTTAAAAATGTTTTGGGGGCACCTGAGTAGCTCAGTCGGTTAAGCTTCTGACTCTTGGTTTCACTTAGGTCATGGCTCAGGGTCAAGAAATAGAGTCCCTCATTGGGCTCTGTGCTCAGTGGGAAGTCTGCTTGGGATTTCCTCTCTCTCCTGGCCCTACCCCACTTTGAGCATGTGCTCTCTGTCTCACTCACTCTCTAAAATAAATAAATCTTTTTTTAAAAAAGAAATGTTTTATTTTTAGTTTTTACTTCTGTTCTCTAAGATACATATGTGTCATTTTACTGGCAAATGTCTTTAAATGTCTATGAATTTCCATTAATAACGTTTCTGAAAAAATATCCCCATGTCCCGTTGAAGTTTCCTTCTATGCTAATGCTATTTTTTTCTAGACCCGGGAAGATAGGAAGGTCGAAGCCATCATGCATGCTTTTGAAAACTTAGAGAAAAGAAAGAAGCGGCGGGATCATCAGCCCTTGGAACAAAACAGCTCTGACATAGAGATTACTACCACCACTTCAGAGGCTGCCGTGGGAGAAGAGGCAAAAACTGAAGCCCCTGAACCCGAAGTTAGCAACCCTGCTTCAAACATGGCCATCCCAAGCACCCCACAGAGTGTTGGAGTGAACACCCGGAGGTCTTCCCAAGCAGGGGTAAGAGATGGAAACACTCCAGGCCTTAGACATCCTTGCTTTTGCTAATGTCAGTTATCTGTCTTTTGGAATAGTGAAAATGAGCATTTTCAGCTTCACCTCATATTGCAGTAAATAAGGCCATTTTCATCAGTTGATTTGTGGGATTCAGGGAGACAGAATTTGAATGACGAGACACTTGTAGTCTAGAATGTTAACTTCATACTGTTTCTGCCAGATAATACTGTTTGTGGTGAGTTCATAAAAATTTCATATCTCTTTTGGCTCTTCTATATAGCACAATTAGGCACCTGACCTTTCATAGGATTCTCAGAATAAATCCATTTTTTCTTTCCCTACCCTGACCATGAATTCTAAGCCTTAAGCAAAACCTCAGTACCTGGGAAAGAAACAAAGGACGGAATTACCTCCCCTGCTAAGAACCCTAAAATTAGATAGCTATTTTCAGCTGACTTTTGACCTATTTTATAAATACTTATTAGTAAAGAAATAGGCATCTACCTACAGGCTCTTTGGCTGATTGTGTAAGTTTTTTAAGGAGTACATTTGAGATTAGTGTTTCTAAATACTGAATATTCAGAATGCGTCAAGTGAATAGAAGACTGGTTAGAATGTTTGCTGATAAGAAATTTCTGGTAAGCATTTCATTCTGCTCTTATAGGATGTTGCTGCAGAAAAACCAGTCCCCAAGCCACCTCCAGCAAAGCCTTCTAGGCCCCGACCGAAGAGTCGAATTTCTCGGTACCGGACCAGTTCAGCCCAAAGACTAAAGCGTCAGAAGCAGGCCATTGCACAACAGGCGGAGTTGTCACAAGCTGCCTTGGAAGAGGGAGGAAATAACAGCTCTGTAACTCCTACTGAAGCTGGAAATATAGACAGTTCAGGAGAAAACAGGCTATTAATGGGGTCTGACCCAACTGTAGTATCAGTTACTGGATCCCATGTCAACCGTGCTGCACCTAAATACCCCAAAACCAAAAAGGTAAGTCACAAATACATCTTCATAAGTCTAGTCTGGCAAGGGTTGTGTCTTAGTATGGTGAGAGGACCTGTAATCTCCAGAAAAAAAAAAACAAATCACCTAAGTATTATTAGATTAAAAAGTTGTAGATAAAGAGCTTTGAGGCAGCAAGCTAAAACCATCCTACTACCTTTCTTTTGTTCCCTTAACTTTTAGGCAGAACTTAAATTGCTGATAACTGGAATTATTCCTCCCTTAATGATCATGGAGAGGGTGAAGGAAGATATCCTTGCATTCTGAATGCCCAGTTCATACTCTCTGCAGCTGCTATATCTACCTCTGTCCTAGTTTCTAGCTGAGGTTTGTCTTTGTGAGCTATGCTGCTGCCTCTGGCTTTTACATCTGCAGCACCAACTAATGATCTCTTTTCTACCTTAGTATCTAGTTACAGAATGGTTGAATGACAAAGCAGAGAAGCAAGAATGCCCTGTTGAGTGCCCTTTACGTATCACCACGGATCCAACTGTACTGGCAACAACCCTGAACATGTTACCCGGTCTTATCCATTCCCCATTAATTTGCACCACCCCCAAACACTACATTCGCTTTGGCTCACCCTTTATCCCTGAGAGACGTCGAAGGCCCCTTCTGCCTGATGGCACCTTCAGCTCCTGTAAAAAGGTATGTCTGTGTTTATGTGGGGTTTTTTTTTTTTTAACCTAGGATGCCTATAATTGTGACATATCTAACATATTTTCTAGACAGCCACTCTTTACCCATGTGAGTTTATAATGAGTTAGTTCTTCAGCCATGAATAGTGATACATCAAGAGTCAGTAGGACTGAAGTGGGATATATACTGCATTTTTGGTGCTCAATTTGTGAGGATTCACTGTTGTCTTTTCCGAGAGCCCTTGAAGTACTGAGTTGAGAGCACACAGCAGTTGATGACTGGGTAGGGAGGGATGTTTTGTGTGTGCTCTTGTGGTATTGGTTAATATGTCCATTTGTGACTACTGTGTGAGATTGGGCCCCAGGTACTCTAGAGCAATATTGCATAAGTAAAAAATGATTGAATTGTGATTTGAATTAATTTAATTACATTATCATTTGAGTGAGAGTAGAGGAAAGGTCCTCTTATAATTGGCATTTTCTGTTCCTTGATCAAATAACAAGTTGGACTGTTTATTCCCTAGTAAATATGGAACCTACTGTAAAATTCTCTCTCTCTCTCTCTTTTTTTCCTCTCTCTGTCCCCCTCTCCCCACTGTCTCTCTAGTTATATATTGTTTTTGGATCTAGTGGCAGTAGTGTTTGATGGTTGTGTTTGGAATTCTCTTTCTGAATTCCCAGAAGCCCTGCATATTTTCCGAAGGTGTCTCTTGGGAATAGATCACTTCCCTCAGACCTATAATGTCATTTGTGTGTTGCTAGAAGTTTAGGACACCCTTTCATTTGGTCTTCCTTTGAGGTAGAGTCTGTTCCCTGGAACACCCTTTTCTCTTATCCTCAGATCTGGATTCAGGCTGCCTTCCTCAGTGTCTGCCATTGCCCTCCTCCACTGGCATCACGTACATGAGGATGCTGCATGTAGATTATTTGATGTGATGAAGTCTCCAACTCCAGGCAGGTCTTCCCTGACTCCTCCAAACTTAAAGCTTTTCTCTTTCCCCAAAGAGCAGAAATTATTTCTTGGGGGTGGGGGGTATGAAAGATGAGATAAAGTGGTGTGGGATATGGAGGGGAGGAGGGCAACAGGGTTCTGTGCACAAAGGAAGGGCACTACCACTGAATGGGTAGCGTACATTGAAGAAAGTCTTCCTAATTGCACATCTTACCTAAGTATTTGAGTCATTTAATGGTTTATTTGGGGGAAATTCCCAAGTAGAATAACCCGTAAGGAGAAATTTGACCATGAGATCTTTGCCAAAAGAGAGGCTTTGTAGATAACACAATCACATGAATAACTTCCAGGTGTCACGAATAAAAACAATGAGATCTTTCTTAAGAAGAAAATAAGATAGAAATTTGCCTAAGTGATAAAAGAGGGTTGGGTCTCTGGGGATAAATTTTTACACCAAGTCACTTACTTTGGATCTCAGAGATCATCTGAGAAGGAAAAAAAATTGTTTGCATTTGATGAGCATTATGATTAACCTTATTCTGTAACAGTTGGAGAGTTGTGTTAACTCTGGTATGGCATGCAAAACTAATCTTCCTATTACATTTAGCTCAGTCCCTCATGAAGAATAACAGCTCAAAATCTTAACTACATTTTTTGAGTGCTATTGAACAATTAGAGAAGGTGCAGATAATGGTCTTTAGTTTGGAGGAGCAAGTCAGGTGATGACTTAATATATATATGAGAGAGCTTTTTCCTTTTGTTCTGTCTTTGGCTGGACATAATACTAGACTTCTAAGGATGTTAACTATTGAAGCATCTTATCAAGCCAGACTGTAGGATCTCCTATTTTGGTCCTTTGAGAAGGGTAGACAATTACTTAGTACAGATTAATAATGAAGTCTGGATTGTAAGCATTATGGACTAGCCTTTTGAAATGCCACCTTAATCATTCTGATGCCGGGTTATAATCTTTCTATTCCTGTCTTGATTTTCCAACTAGCAGAGTCCTGTAAAAACCAAAAACAAATAGGAATTTGATTTCAAATCTGAGAGAAAATCCATTTCTAAGAACTTTTTACTTCATATGGTTTAGGACTTGTATCTATGGCTCATATTTGTATCTCCACTGGCAACAGATAAAAATCCCATTTAACTCATATCCATGTTTTAGTCTCCAAATGTGTCTGACCATCCTTAGTCTTGTTTTCTGCAGGCTGTGCTCAGGCACTTTTATCTCTATATGTCATATTAGTCTTCGGGAAGAGTTCAGGATATGTATGCTGAGTTATCTAGCAGAATTATCTTACTTAAATTGGGTCTTTTAAAATTAAGTGTAAGATCTGAATTAGGTTAAGTCACAGCTTTAATCTTTGCTGTTAACATCCAGATTATATTATAAAATAAAAATTTCACTTGTTATAGCACAGAATTAATGGAATTGTGGGTCTTTTATCTAGAAATTGAACTCTGTTTTATTCTAGGTAGGGATGGAAAAGTTATTTCTAGATTGGTTAGAAAGGACACTTAGGTCCTAGTGTAGGACCTAAGAAGATCTGGATTATTCAACAAAATTGTAATAATTTTCTAAAAATTTCTCAGAGAAGAATATGTTAGATGAGAAAAACCACCCTCCATGGGATTAGTTAGAACAGTGTGTATTGCTGATAGGCATACTGTTTAACTGATTAAAGGATGTAAAAGCCTCATAAATTAAAAACCATGTAAAGTTGCATGTTGTATATTTGCATCCAGATTCTTAAGAGTGTTTGACAGAACATTTTTGATGTCCCTGGAGTTTCTAAATTATACTGAATCATAGTTCTTAAAAAGCACATTATTGGTATATCTTGTATTGGGTCTTCACTTATTTTAGGATGGAAACGTTGATTTTATGAGTGGCCAGTAAGCCTTTCAGTAGTGTCCTTCCTTGTTCTCTCTAAATCCTCTCTAAACTTTTACTTTGTAGGTATAATAACGTGTTGGGCGGGGGCGGGGGGGAGTTTGGTCTTCCAAATTTCTTAGAAAACCATCCTAACTGAAAATGAAACATTTTGCTTTGCATTGTTATTTTATTGTGTATACAGAAGGGGGTTATATAACCTGTGTATCTCCATACTCAGTTTGAACAGGTCCTCACTGAGTATGTGCGCCTAGTGATAAGCTACACACTTCCTTCATATGCATTCTCACTTAGCCTTCATGACAACCCTATGAAGTTGGGTTATTGGCCTTGATTTATAGATTCAGAAACTTTGGCTCAGATGGATTGCCCAGAGTTAGGCAGCTAGTGAGAGGCACAGCCAAGTTTCAGTCCAGATCTCAAAACTCAAATTACTTCCTTGTTTCTTTCCCATAGTAATGAGACTCATCAAAACATTTCTCTCACCTATCTCTGAGCTTCTAAAAAACTCTTACACAGAGTTTTGGAGAAGGAGGAAGTATCCTTTTGATCTAATAACTATAGCCAGAACTGAGGTGCTGAAGGTATCTAAAATTGTTATTTGGAACTTGTTAGTTAACAAATGTTCAAGTTCTTCTTTTATCGGCTCTAAAAGATTACATAGACATACAGAAGGGCCAGGAGGAATGGGTTTGATCATATTTGCTGTGTTTGACCTTATAGCTAACCATAGCAGCATCTTATTCCTTAGAATGCCCCTGTCCTGGTTTTATTTTCCCTTTTTGTAGTCATCAGATCCAGAATGTCAATTCTTTTATGGGTGCATCTGCTTGACACTGGAAATTTAAGAAATTATCTTCTCTTGGAGGAAAGCACAGTGACCCCAAGTGAGTCCTGTCATCTGCTCTGAAAAGAAAAGCTTGTATTAAAGGTATCTGTAACAAAGGATTTTTCACTCATTTTGTCCTCTTGGGCCTAATTTTCCCCATCTGTGCAGTGAGTGCTTTGGACAAGGTGACTGCCAAGGTCTCTTCTAAGTTGTAAGGTGCTGTGGTTCTGACAGTTCATCTTGACGTCAGTATTCCGTGTATAAGCGAGTTCGTTCTTGGTCTTGTTTTGGCTTTTCACAGACCTTGTCATATCATAAAGTGTTGATACGATTCAACTGACTGTTGATATCTCTTTTTTATATGCTTATTCACTCTTATTGCCTCGTGTTTACGGTTTTATTTTTGCTTTCATTTGGTAGACCGCAAAGCCATTTATTTACGTGATCTAAAATTTTTCTTGGTGAAATTTTCCTCACATTATTTCCTAAGAAATGATTATTTCCTAAGTTTCTAAGAGCGTAAATCTATTTGCTCTCTTTGATGAAGAGAATATTTACTTACCTGTAACACTTGTTCTCTAAAGGTATAAAATTATAATCACCATTTGCTCTTCCTATTTGGGGGAGGGTCTGATTCAGAAATTGATGTTTATCAAAATTCGATCTGTCTTATGTCAGGGCAGGAGAGCCACAGAGTGGTGAGCAACCTACAACTGTGTATCTTAAGAGAACACAATTACAGGTAAGAAATTTTCTCTCTTCCCCAGGATGAATAATCTTAATATCCTAATCTTTGCAGGCTCACTTTCTGACCTAAATTTATTATTTCATCATTTTAGATTCTAGTATTCATTACAAAAAATGTGACTGATTAGAGAGCTCTTTTGTACTTTTTCCCCTTTTTGATTTCTGCAGAAGTTCATTTGTTCTGGTGATTTGCATTATTCTTGCCTAATACAACCAAAGTACTTAGTAGGGAGAAAAAACTCACAGGTTATTCCATCTGAGAGTAGACCTTTGGAAGTATTTTGTACCTGTACTGAAGAGCTAGCTGTTTATTCTCATCCAAAGTCTTCCTATGAATCTTTTCTATTATCTCTTCAGATGTCCCCAGCACAAGGCAGACAACTCTTAAGAGATCTTTTATCTTCCTTTTAGGCACTTATTTTATGTACTAGTTTTATCCTGTATGATCAAAGTCTCTCTATCAAATGAAAGCTAAGATTTCTTAATCTCTTCCCATTTGCCCCATTCTGAGCAATATGAAAAGTTGAATAGTAATCATTTTTTACTGGTTTTGATTTTTTGATGGGATCTCATTATTGTATAATGCAGATTTTCTCAGTTTTGCCCCATAGAAAGAATTGATGGGGCAATATTCTAATATGCTGAAACGCAAGGCAAAAAATACTTGACTGTGGAACTCAGTGAGTGTGTTGGAGTGCATCTCTCACCAGTTGATATGTAATGATCTGGTTAATGTATTTAAAATAGCTTTAATAATTAGTTTTAAATGATTATTGATAATTCCCTGGTTCTTTTCCCATTGTAGCGCTGGATAAAGCAAGCCTTGGAAGAAGGGATGACTCAAACATCATCTGTACCCCAAGAGACTAGAACTCAGCACCTATACCAAAGTAATGAGAATAGTAACTCTTCTAGTATCTGCAAAGACAATGCAGGTATGTATCTCAAACCTTCCTGAATACATAAGCAATGATTATTTCAGGTCCACATAAAAAAATTCAATGTTTGAGTATTTGAACAGTCTGATACAAAAAAAAACATTGTTATCTAAATAGTTACTTTACATCATCTGTCTTTACAGAGGAAGAGAGATCTCAAGTCAGGGAACAGTTTTCCCACGCCGACAAAGAAGGAACTAGACAGTGTACAGATAACAGCAGAAATGGTTATAAAAAGGTTAGATACGTTTAAAGTAGTAAGTTTAGGAAATCTATATCCATGTTTATAAGAGGAGAAATAAGCAAGAAAGATGTGGGTCATTGTTGAGGAAACAATAAAGATTACACATGTTTGAGCTGGGTGGGGCTTGGTTGAAGGGGCAGGGGGTGAATGAAGTAAATGAGAAATCCTTAAGATGTTTTCAAAAAGGGCTTGCACAATTAGTGTAAAATTTTTTTAGGAGATATGGCTTTGAGTCCAGTATAAAGTTCTTGTGAGATTGTAAATTAGAAGGTCCTAAAAAATCATCTGGTCCATTGATTTTCACAGTAATTCTTACAGGGTAATTTTAATTGAATTGCAGATGAGAGCACTGGTGCATGAACTTGTGATGCTAACTTAGTGGGCACCAGTCTTTTTACCAAAGTTTCTCCTGCCAGTTTCAGCTTAATTGAAAAGTTCTCTGTGACTTCCATAAGTTTATCTCTAAATCAATTCTGTGAATATTATGTAACCAAAAAAATAAAATAGATGCTAAAGGTCATGTAAGATTATAGCTAACATGATGTAATATATGTGGAAAAAAGTAAGCTACTAGGGGCGCCTGAATGGCTCAGTCAGTTAAGCATCTGCCTTCAGCTCAGGTCATGATCCCAGGGTCCTGGTATCGAGCCCCACATCTGACTCCCTGCTCATCAGGGAGTCTGCTTCTCCCTCTCCCTCCGTCTGCCGCTCTGCCTACTTGTGCTCTCTCTCTCTGTCAAATAAATAAATAAAAATCTTTAAAAAAAAAAAAGTAAGCTACTAAAAATATTTTTTTTTTTTCAAATTTAGTTAATTCTTCTATCTCTAATTTGGAAGATACCTTATAAATTTTCACATGTGTAACCCCAGGATAATAAAATCCCAGTGTAGAACATCTGGAAGATAAATGATACTATTTATCTTCTCTTTACCTTTATTCTTAAAGTATTTTATTCTTCTTCTACATCAAAGATTAGGAATATTTACTCAAACTAGATAAATATAAAGAAATGCTGATACCAGATTTCTATCAATATTATCACTTTATTGGAAGCTTTTACAGTATAGTGAGAGTATAACTTAAATGAAATCTTCTGTCTAGTATACGTACATATGCACATTTGCATTTGTGTTTCTGTATTTGAGGTTGGGAAAGGGAGGTTGTATAGCAGTTCATGTCCGGACCAGCAGAGACTCATAGGCAAAGTGCCTTTGTTACTACATGTCCCGGTTGGAATGGAATTAGGACCATTAGTCACCAACTATTGAATTTTTGCTCTCATCTCTAACAGTGAGAAACATTCAAAGGACACACCTTGCCCTTAAGGATCAACATAACCAGAAGGAAAATATTTAACTAAACCAAGCAGTAGTCAAATGAATGACTTGGTATATAGTTGCAAGTTAGTGTAAATCCTGAGGGATTATTTTTATTTGCTAGTTAAGTTTTTTCAAAAAGACCAAGGAGATGTTAAGGGAAGTGGGGGTGCCTAGGTGGCTCAGTTGGTTAAGCACTCGACTCTTGATTTTGGCTCAGGTCATTATCTCAGGGTTGTGGGACCAAGCCCCACGTCAGGCTCTGTGCTGGACGTGGAGATTCTCTCTCTCTCTCCCTCCCTCCTTCCCCCTGCTCCTCCCCTGCGCCCGTGTGCCCACCCCCCACCCCCCCGTGGGGGAAAAAAAGTGTATTGGTATAGTAGAAAGAATCCAGTGGACCTGAATTTGAAGACCAGCTCTATCCTTTACTAAGTACATGATGTTAGGCAAGTTACTAAGCATCTGTGAGCCTCCTCTGTAAAATGGGAATAGTGATACCTGCTTTATAGAGCTTGTATGAGATTAAGTTAGATAATGTATGTAAAGTGCTTAGTATGGTATCGAATCCATAAAAGGAATTATTACTAACACTATTCTACACAAAATAGTCTTTATTGGCGAGCATTTATGAAATGTTTACAGAACTTAGATCAGATACTAGGGTACATTAAAGATTCTAAGTTCCTAAAATCTGAAGTTGTATAGAAATAAAAATTAAATTGCTCTTCAGGAAGGAGAGGGCATAATGTTCATTGTAAATGGTGTGGCTATGTACCTAGGAAACTTTAATCAGCTGAAAAACTTAGATTTAATGCGTTCAGTAAAACCGCTGGATAGAAGGTACATAGGCAAAATTAATAGCATTTTAGGGGTGCCTGGGTGGCTCAGTCATTAAGCGTCTGCCTTTGGGTCAGGTCATGGTCCCAGGGTCCTGGGGTCGAGCCCCACATCAGGCTCCCTGCTCAGTGGGAAGCTGCTTCTCCCTCTTCCCCCTGCTTGTGTTCCCTCTCTCGCTGTGTCTCTCTCTGTCAAATAAATAAATAAAATCAGTTAAAAAAAAAATGAATAGCATTTATGTACTAAGAAAATGAAGAAAATTTTTTCATTTCCAAACTTACCAAAACTAAGAAACTGCCTAGGAATAACCATAGTGGAACATGTGGAGTAAACCATGGCTGAGAAATATGTTTAAAGCCTTGAGGAAATGAAGATAAAGTCTATATTCCTTAATGGAAATTATAACTGTAATATCTCCCCCACCGCCACCCCCAGCTTCGTATAGTTCCCATCAAACTAGCTCATTTTGGAATTTGATTAAATGAAGTTTATCTAAAATAAACATGAAAATAAGAAAAAAGAAGAAAATAAAAAGACAAAGTAGTGCCTTCCCTAGGGGTACAAAACTAGTTTCTAGGGGCACCTGGGTGGCTCATTTGGTTAAGCACCCGTCTCTTCATTTCAGCTCAGGTCATGGTCTCAGGGTAGTGAAATCAAGCCCCACCTAGGGCTCTGTGCTGGGCTTGGAGCCTGCTTAAGATTCCTGCTCGCTCGCTTTCTCTCTCTCAAAACCCAAAACTTGTTTCTAATATGAAGCTGGAAGCTAGTAATTAAATTAGGACAGTACTGGTGCCTGAGCATATGTGTATGTATGGGATAGAATAGCCAGAAACAGGTCTTAAGTAAATGAAATATTTGCTAAATTATTCTGGAATTTTTACTTACTTGGGGGATTGAAAAGAATTAGATCTTTGCCAAAGCAAGTTCTAGACACATTCAAATTTTTTTTTTTTAAAGTCAAACTTGAATAAAGTTTCTGTGTCTGTATTGTCTCTGAGTTAATAGAGAAGTCTGTTGAGAGAAAGGATTTGCAATAAAAATGACAGAGTAATATCCCTACTACTAGTAATTTGGTAAGATTTAACATAATGCATTAAAAAGGCTAATACTCTGGGTTGCTTGGCTGCCTCAGTCAGTAGAGCACGTGACTCTCGATCTCAGAGTCATGGGTTCCAGCCCCCACTTTGGGGTTAGAGATGACTTAAATAAATAAACTTAAAAAAAAATACTACTTAACCTAGTAGTTCTACAGAAATAAATGTAGACTAAAAAGCTTTGTACAAAGTACAAGTTATAGGGCGCCTGGGTGGCTCAGTTGGTTAAGCGACTGCCTTCGGCTCAGGTCATGATCCTGGAGTCCCTGGATCGAGTCCCGCATCGGGCTCCCTGCTCGGCGGGGAGCCTGCTTCTCCCTCGGACCCTCCCCCCTCTCGTGCTCTCTCTCTATCTCATTCTCTCTCTCAAATAAATAAATAAAATCTTTAAAAAAAAAAAAAGTACAAGTTATAGAATTATTAATAACTGCAAAAATATAGAGCATAAAAAGGATTTCAAGGAGTAAAGGAGTGGTAAAATTTATTTGCTATGTGCACATATTTTTGGGTGCACATAGCATACCATATGCATATATATACTATACATACAGTATATGCACATAGCATATACTACACAGTATTATTAAATTTTTCACCCTTTATTCATTTTATCAAACTCACCCCCCCAAAACACAGCATCTTACTACTTTTGAATTAGATTTCAGTGATCTGAATCTTGAGTCTGTAAGAATATCAAAAGAAAAGTATATTATGAGCAAATGAAATTTCTACTACAAATATAAGGATGGTTTAGTATTTGAAAAATATTCATATAATTTATTAGCAGACCAAATGTAGGAGGGGGAGTAATAGTACAGTAAATATGAATTTAATGATAAATCTAGTAAAATAAGGGCACCTGGGTGGCTCAGTCGGTTAAGTGTCTGCCTTCAGCTCAGGTCATGGTCCCGGGGTCCTGGGATCGAGTCCCTCATTGGGCTCCCTGCTAGTGGGGAGTCTGCTTCTCCCTCTGCCTCTGCCTCTCTCTCTCTGTCTCTCATGAATAAATAAATAAAATCTTTAAAAAAAAATAAAATACCTATGACTTTTTTTTTAAGATTTGATTTAGAGAGAGAGCGAGCAGGAGGAAGAGCAGAGGGAGAGGGAGAGAGAGAACCTCAAGCTGACTCTGTGTGCTGAGTGTGGAGCCCTATGCAGGGCTCAATCTGATGACCTGAGCAGAAACCAAAAGTTGGACGCTTAACTGACTGAGCCTCCCAGGCACCCCACCTATCATTTTTTTTTTACATCTTTCTGCAAAATAGTTGCCAATTATGCTTAATGGTGAAAACTATTTACATTAAACCTTAAAATGCATTATCAAGTACACCAAAATTAATACTGTATACTAAATTAGAGTTCAATAAAAAATAATAAATTTTTAAATGGGTTATCAGATTATCCCACTCTTACATTATTTAACAGTGTCTAGGATTATTTTCTTACATGTTAAAAAATAACATGTAGAGGGGCACCTGGATAGCTCAGTTGGTTAAGCAGCCCCCTCTTGATTTGAGCTCAGGTCATGATCTCAGGGTCCTGGAATCAAGCCCTCAGTTGGGATCAAGCCGTCATTTGGGCTCTGCTCTCAGTGGGGAGTCTGCTTGAGGATTCTCTCTCTCTCAAATAAGTAAATCTTAAAAAACAAACATGCAGATAATAACACAGAGGGAGGAGAAATACGTGTAATGCACAGTGGTAACAAAAACTAGAGAACATGGGGGAGTACCCCTAATTAGAAATGTGATGAATCAGGGTGCCTGAGTTGGCTTAGTTGGTTAAGCATCTGACTTCAGCGCAGGACATGATCTCAGGGTCTTGGGATGGAGCCCCAGGTCTGGCTCCCTGCTCAGCAGGGAGTCTGCTTGTCCCTCTGCCCCTCCCCTGCTCTTGCTCACTCATTCTCTCACTCTCTCGTAAATAAATGAAAGAGAGAGAGAGAAAGAAAAAAGAAAAGAAAGAGGGCGCCTGGGTGGCTCAGTCAGTTAGGCGTCTGCCTTCAGCTCGGGTCATCATCCCATGGTCCTGGGATCGAGTCCCCCATCGGGCTCCCTGCTCAGTGGGGAGTCTGCTTCTCCCTCTCCCACTCCCCCTGCTTGTGCTCTCTCTCTGTCAAATAAATAAAATCTTTAAAAAAAAAAAAAGAACAAAAGAAAGAAAGAAATGTGACAGATCTATATGAAAAGGGATAAATGAAGGCTTGAGTAGCTGAAAGATTGTGCCATGGTGCTGAGTGAGAATTCTTCCTCAGTTACTCATGAATTTAATACGATACCAATCAAAATTCTGACTGTTTGGTGGGGGAGAGTACTGTCAGCATGGTGAATGATTTCAACAGTTCACTGACAGGAACAACAAGTATGCTAGAATAGCCAAAATATTTTGGACAGCTAGAGTAGAACAAGTGGAATTACCCAAAACTTTTACTAAAAAGGATGTCAATATTAATGCCATTTACACAGCAGGTGTACAAAACTAAACCCAGTTTGTGTAAGACTAATAGCATAAATGTCATATTTCAGATCAGTGGAGAAATTATAATTCTTTTTTTTTTTTTTAAAGATTTTATTTATTTATTTATTCATGAGAGACAGAGAGAGAGAGAGAGAGGCAGAGGGAGAAGCAGGCTCCCAAGGAGCAGGGAGCCCGATGCGGGACCCGATCCCAGGACTCCGGGATCATGACCTGAGCCGAAGGCAGACGCTTAACCATCTGAGCCACCCAGGCGCCCGAGAAATTATAATTCTATAAATATAAAAGATTTTGGAAGAATGTACTGTTTGACATGGGAAAAGGTAGATAATTACCACCTTCTACTGAAGTATGTTTTGAGTTAAATACGGAGATAAAGGGAAAATAGGCCAGTATATTTTTTTTCTTAAGATTTTTATTTGTCAGAGAGAGAGAGCACAAGCAATGGGACCTGCAAGCAGAGGGAGAAGCAAGCTCCCCGCTGAGCAAGGAGCCCGATGCGGGACTTGATCACAGGACCCTGGGATCAGGACCTGAGCAGACACCCAACCAGCTGAGCCACCCAGGCGCCCCTTGATGGGTCTTGCTTACTTATCCAATCTGATATATTTTAACATAATGATTGAGAATGTAAATGAGGGGCGCCTGGGTGGCTCAGTCGGTTAAGCGTCTGCCTTCCACTCAGGTCATGATCCCGGGGTCCTGGGATCCAAGGGCCGAGTTGGGCTCCCTGCTCAGCGGGGAGCCTGCTTCTCCCTCTCCTCCCTACTTGTGCTCTCTGTCACTATCTCTATCACTGTCTTTGTCTCTCTCTCTCAAATAAATAAAATCTTAAAAAAAAATAGAATGTAAGTGAAACTAAATTACCTAGTCTTTATCTCTGCGCATCAAATTTCTCATCTTTAAAATGGATTTATAGAGTTCATATTAAATCTCATAATTCACATAAAGCACATAGAATAGTGCCTGGTATATAATGAGCACTTAAAAGCATAATTACTTTTTTTAAGATTTTATTTTTAAGTAATCTCTACAGCCATTGTGGGGCTCGAACTCAGGGCTCTGAGATTAAGAGTTGCAAAGCATAATTATTTTTCATGAACAAACGCATAGCAGTATGATCACCTCTGTTGAGGTTCTTAAACTTATATTAAACATGTTTTACATGTTTTCTCATCCTCACAAATTTGTAAATCCCCTTAAGTAGAATACATGGTGACCTTCTCCCCTTACATACCTAATTCAGTGGTTTCCATATAGTAGGTATTAAGTAAATAAATCTCTTTTAACGTAAATGAATAAAAGTAGATTTTTCCTCTGAGAAAGTGAGATATAGGTGCTTTGACCTGAGTGGTCATTAAAATATATAGGATAGTAATTTCCTTTATAAGTGGACCCAAGAAGTATAAGAAGTGTAGGATATTCCAATCAGAAAAAGAGTACCAGCCTCATTTTTGAAAATGGTTGGGAGAAATTTTTGTAAAAATCATTTCCTACTTTGAAGCACTCTAAAACTAGGGGCCAGATACATAGGTCAGGTAATCATGTGTAACTCTTTCCTACTAAAGCAGAACATTATAGAAAGAGCTGCCACAAAATGGTAGAAATATATAAAAGAAGATAAAAGGAATATGGAGTTAACATTCTAGAAACTTGAACTGGTGATATGGAAATTAAGTAGAGGGTGATTTTAACAAAGTGACACAGAACTGAGATTTTTAGAAATTCAATGTGAAAAATAAAAGAAGTTTATATTTTCCCCTGGAAGAGATTAAATTCGTTCCAGAGATCAGTCATTAGCAGTGTCAGATACATCTGGTGATTCTCTGGGCAATAGAGAATTTTGAGAATTACTTAAGTGCGACAAAGAATTCTTTGGCCTTTTGGTTTGATTGCGGGAAATAACAATGGGATGAGGCAGAAGAGGAATTAAGAGCCATTGTGGGCTAGAGATTAATGGCTTTACTACAGAGCCTCCCTTTTAAACTGTGATTTCAATCTCTCATCTAAGCTTTGTATTTCACAGACTTGTTGAGCCCATTAAAGAAATGGAAGTCTCGCTATCTGATGGAACAGAATGTTACCAAGTTACTACGGCCTCTTTCTCCAGTCACACCACCCCCTCCCAATCCAGGCTCAAAGAGCCCCTCGTTGACCACACCTGGCCCATCTCACCCAGAAGAGGAGTGTCGAAATGGATACAGCCTCATGTTCTCACCAATCACGTCTCTTACTACTGCTAGTCGCTGCAATACTCCTCTGCAGTTTGAGGTGATTTGGGCTTGCTTGTTGGGAGTGCTGAATATGAAAATTATCATTTGCCCCTCCTCATTTCAAGTATAATATCATTCCAAATATTTCTTGACCATGTTCCTGCCAGTCTCAGCAAGAGAACGGGAAACCTCAGCATCGGTGTGACCGGTTACCTGGTAGCCTCTCATCTTTCCCAAAAGTCCCCATACTTCCCCAAAAAGGAATAATTCTACCATGGATGACATTCATCTGTTTTTGCATGCAATACATCAGTCTCCATAACTGTAGAAAGCATGCTACATCTCCATCTTTGTCTTTACTGCATACCTTGGTTAAAATAGGTCTCTAGCTGCCTAGTAACCACTAATGATACCAGCCTGAGAGCTCAGATTATACTGATTTTCTTTCTAGGCCTTTAAATGAGTGAGTTATCTTTCTCTGTTGTTTTGTATTCTTGTGGCCTCAGTGAACAGAGATTTAGAAAGCTTTGGGGTATGGTTTGTGGCAAATGGGTTTTTTTCCTACTCCAGGTTACTCTCCCTTCTTGTTAAAATGTGTCAGGAATGAAATGTTAGAAAGAGGTTAACAACATGTATTTGTAAGAGACATATTTATTACATTCACTCTCTGGATTAAGTTAGAAATGTATATTATCTTAGCTGTTAGAACAGTTAATTCTGAATCACATTCTCGTGTTCACATGTGGATAATAGCAGGTTTACTGAATAGAATCCTGTGTATAAAAAAAATCAATCTATTGCATGTTGCTTTGATTTGCAATTCATTAAACAGACAGTCTCTTCCTTCTTAAGAGAAACTTACTCTGATCACTAAACACTTAGCTCTGCCCCTATCTTGTAACTTCTCCAGATGTGTTGTTTGATAAAGGTGAATGCTTTAACCAATGCCTTCCTACCTATTCAGCCCTTATGAAAGCATAGGGATTAAAAATACCTGAACTTTTGAGTGGCTAACTCAGAAGGAGGTTCCTAGCAACCTTGAATGCAGGAAACAGCTATGATCTATACCTGAACAGACTGTACTAATTACTTTGGGAGCAAACCTCTTTGGCAAGGGGATGGTGGGGAAGCAGGGGGAACCTTCCTGGTTACATTTGATTTATAGAGAAGTTACCAAATTCACTTTGGCATTTCTTGTCAGCCATACAGTAAAGCAGCTGATTCAGGCCTTACTAACTTTACGTGGTCTAATTGCCTTGATTTTTCAGTTAGCAAGTAGAGTTCAGCAGTAAAATTTCATAGGAGAATATTCACCCTGGAGGGCAGCAAATTGTAGGCATAGGATTTCATACTTTATCATTGCAGGTTTTATTATAATTAAAAAGGTGAAATTACAGAAATGAGAAGGTACATCACCTTCCAGGACAGTTAAATTGAGCATTCAGTGCATTTCCTAATCCCAGGTAGTGTTTTGGATAACTGAAACATTGTGCAAGGGTAAGGTATTTTATTTATTTTACAAATCAAAGATAAGTTTAATGATGCACATAGTCTAAGCATAATGTTAGAATACTGGGAATAAAAAAATATTATATTAAATAGCTCATCCCTTCAAAAAGTCTAATGCCTCTATTTTCACTGTTCCAGTCTCGTGATTTAACTAAGGAAATTTAACCTTTCTTGTCAATAAAACAAACTTCACCATCCTGACCATCTTTATCACCATTTTAACTGCCATGCTCTTTCCTATATTCTAGTATAGGAAGCCTTATTTCCATCCAAGACTATGACACAGAGAAATACCAAAAAGGTGTCACAGGTAAAGATCAGTTTGGTTGGGGAAGAATCTTTTTTAAAGGAAAAATGAAAATCATCCCAGTGAAAAATGTCTCCAGTGCTAAGGGAAGGAGTTGAGGAGACATGACAAGATCATGAGGGAGGGGGAAGCATCAAGGAAAAGGAGTAAAAAGCAACTTGGGAGGGCAAGCTTAATTAACCCCTCCTTTACACCAGAATAGCCCTTCCCTTCTCTTCCTGACCCAGTGTCTACACACTACCCAGCCCACCAAATAAAGTTAACAGCCTCATTTCACAGTTGTCCAGAGTCTCCAACATTAGGAACCCTTTCCTTCCCTTACCCCTAGTACTCTGAATCTTTGTCACAACTACCGCCATCTTTCTATCCACTTTTTACCATTCAGATCTTCCATCAGAGTTCATGGTCCAGATCATGTTTGAGTGCTATGGGAGTGCTGCCTCAGGTGAAAGCTCTAAGGGGAAGCCTGTTTAAGATGCAGGGACTTGAAATGTTCCCCTCTGCGCGCCCCCGCCCCGTTCCCAAAAGTACAAGGGATTTTAATTTGAGAGAACATTGGTAGGTAGGGGTGTTCAGATCCAGTTAGATTATTGCCGTAAACCATCTAGCCTATAAGCTAGATTTCATTCTGTCTCCTGTAACTGTTATTCAGGAGGAGCTGGCCATCCCCCTAGCCCCATCATCACCAGCATGCTCAGCACTTTGCCTGGACAGTGGTGGCAAGCCTGAACCACCCAGGAGAATGGAGAAATAAGACTTTCAGAAGGAAGTGTGGGACAAAAGAAAAAGATTCCCCTATGGAGGAGTAAGTGGTAGGGTGCCCATCAGTAATAAATACTATAGGCTGTTCAACTGTCATCAGATGTAGAACAGAATTTCAAATGAAATTATAGTGTACAATTACACCAATCTAAATTTTTTCTGTTATCTGCTTAAGATGTTTACTTACAGCATGAAACATTATAAACAGTTTATCCCTAAATGCTTTCAAGGACACCAGGAAGCATTTTTAACCAGTCGTTCTGTCCATTGAGATGAATTCTGCAGTTAAACATTTTCCCTGTGCATTCTTTTCCCTTCCCCTGCCCCCACCACAAAAAGTTGTGGCTAACCATCTATGCTTGCTTTTATTTTATTTTTTTGTTTGTTTTGTTTTGCTTCTTGACTTCGGATAGATGAATAACAAGATGCTTTTCCCTCCTCTAGAACATATCCTCCCCTGAGAGTTCCCCTGCGAATAGGCCCGAGTCCCTGTCACCCGAGGTAGTTATCACACCATCTCAATCACACTTGGAGGCTGAGAGTGAGTGTGCATGAGTGTGTGGGAGGGCTGGGGGGTCTGAATGAATGAGCAGTAGGCTGAAGAGCAACCAGTCAGTTGCTGTAAGTTGAATGAATCTTCCCATGTGTGACTGGATCACTCAGAACTTTCAATGTAGATGGAGGAAAATGAAGGGGTGTGTGTGTGTGTGTGTGTGTGTGTGTGTGTGTGTGTGGTGGGGTTTGTTGTTTGGGGGAGGGGGGCTGAAGAGTTCTTTTAAAGAATAGAATTTGGAAGTCAAGTTTAAAGCAAGCTGAAGATGTGGGAGCCTTGGTAAAGTAACAACTAAGGTGTGTTTGTTAAATAAGGAAAACAAATCAAAAGTTGGTAGGAGCTATCTTTTGATATTTATTATCTTGGGCTGAGAAAGGATCAGTTTATACTGGAAAAGTTAGGCAGTGATTTAGGTCTTATTTCAGGGTTAATCTGACAGCTCTGTTTTAACTGGATGTTTGGGGCTTTGGTTGATAGATTGAACAGCTTGTTTAGAAAACGGAGAGTCCTGCCTCTCTGCTTTCTCCGTTTTCTTTGTAGCTCCTTACTGGGTATACAAGGAAACTAAGTCAGCCCATGGCTTCTAAGACACAGGCCTTCCTTCTGTAGTAGTGGAGATGTGGTGGCATACAAGTGGTATCTCTTAGGATGTCCAATTGAGTGTTTTTCTCAGGCACCCTACTACTGTGGAGATGTTAAATTCAGATTTTAGTGCTAGAGTTTCTTAACTATTAAAAAATTTGGACAAATGTAGTAATGATTAACTCTGTGAATCCACATGGAGACTTTTTCCTCTTGAAGAGAAAGCTGTAGTCTCTCATAACCTTTCAGAAATTAAATGAACTGTTAACTGTACCCCTTTCCAGTTAAAAAATTAGTGCTAAACTTAGTGATAGTTGATAAAACTCTGAATCAGTATTTTATAGATCAAGGTGAAACAAAAGTTGTATTCTAGTGTACTAGAGGTTTACTGGGTGTTTTTTACTCTTGTAAGGAAATCATGGTGTGACATCTGGAATTTTGGTACCATTCTTTCTAGAGAGTCAGTAATAGTTGACCTAGTGGTGGAAAATCTTGGTGTTGGGAGGTAATAATAACCAAAGAGTAGATACGGTTTATTTTTGATACAATTCAGCATTTTGAAAGCAGTGGTGGGTATTAGTGGTCTTGAGGTATGTGGACATACATCAGAGGATAAAGAATTGAGTGGCCAGAAAGTTTTATGAGAAGCACACATACTTAATAGTGAAAGTGAGTAAAGAACTGGTTGGTTGATGTCTTTAACTAATACCATTCTCCTTTACTAAACCAGTAACTTAAATACTTGACTTTCTACTTACTACTTTCTTTCCCTTTTTCCCTCCTCCCACCTTCCATCAGTATTAAATACAAATGAATAACACCAGAAGCCAGTTATCTTAAGACACCAGTCTCGCCTCTGTAGCATACATGGGGCTCAGGTAAATCCCTGATTATACTTCCAGTCCCTTAATGTCATACAAGGTGACTCAGCAAACCTGATGAAAGGCTAAGCAGGCAAAATAGTCACATTTGGCCAATTGCTTAATTCTGATTTTCCCAGGCTTCTCATCCAGAAAACTTTAAAGCAGTTTGTGAAAGGCCGGCATTCTGTAGCAGTCTGGCCTGTATATACTGTTGCTCCATGGGACTTTTACCGATGTTAATGGCTTTCTTTCTGGTACTTCCATCCTTCTTACCCCATCCCTCTTACCTTTCACCTGTGCCCCTCTCATTTCCCTTCCTTTCTGCCCTTTGACTTTTTCCTTCCCCCACCTCCTTCTCCATGTCTCTGTTGATTTTTATTCTTTCAGCTTTGTCACCGGAAAGACCTGGACTTGACAAAAGTAGGCTACCTTGACTCCAACACTAACAGCTGTGCTGACAGACCTTCCCTGATCAACTCAGGTCCTTCTGACCTAGCTCCTCATCCCTCTGTCGGGCCCCCCTCTGAGACTGGCTTTCCAAGCAGGAGTGGAGATGGACATCAGACCCTTGCAAGGAACTCGGACCAGGCATTTCGGACAGAGTTTAACTTAATGTACGCCTACTCCCCATTGAACGCTATGCCTCGAGCAGATGGATTATATCGAGGGTCTCCCCTAGTAGGGGATAGGAAGCCTTTACATTTGGACGGGGGATATTGTTCCCCTGCAGAAGGGTTTCCCAGCAGATATGAACATGGTTTTATGAAAGACCTCTCTCGTGGATCCATGTCACCTGGTGGTGAAAGGGCTTGTGAAGGAGTCCCATCTGCCCCCCAGAACCCACCGCAGAGGAAAAAGGTAAGTGTTCTACCTTATATAGGCCCTTTTGAAGAATAATAATATTTGAAGCAAGTCAGTAGATATTTATTGAGTTAACCACCATGTGTTCAGCACCATTTTCTGTGTGAGGAAAACAGAGACATAAGACGTGATCTCTGCCCTGTCCTGTGAAAGCCAAGACTGTTTTGTTTCAAAGATTTTATTTATTTGAGAGATGGGGGGGGGGGCATGAGCAAGGGGAGGGACAGAGGGAGAGGGAGAAGCAGACTCCCAACTGAGGAGGGAGCCAGACGCAGGGCTCAATCCTAGGACTCTGGGATCATGACCTGAGCCAAAGGCAGACACTTAACCAACTGAGCCACCCAGGTGCCACTGTTTTGTTTTGTTTTGTTTTGTTTTTTTAGACAAGACTGTTTTAATACAATTTGAACGTTACAAATATTCAGCAAATTTAAATGCCTGCCATGTATGTGCTGTACACATGCTATGCAATCGAAGGATAGAACATTGAAAAAGAATAATGCTAATTACTTGTATTATTTAGCACTTCCCATGTGTTAAGCATTTTCTTAGCATTATATTCTCACAGTGATCCTGTAAGATGGGTAATTTCCCATTTTGCAGGTGAAGAAACTAAGGCAAGTTGAGTGACTTGCCATGGTCACATAGCTAGTAAACGGAAGAGCCAGGAAAGTGCCCAGGTCTGTCTCATTCCAGATTTCATGCTCTTACTGCCACTGTGCTATATATTGCTTCCTAAGTTCTGCCCTAATGGAGCTTAAAGCAAGTGAGACTGAGGTAAGCAGATAATTGTATTAATAAGCAATTAATTACAGTGGCAGTGGATGCTCCAGAGGAGTTCTTCAGATATAGTAAGAACACCTTAGCCACAACCTGGCCTAGTCATATATGTGGAGGGTACATTGAGAACAAACAAGAGGCTCCTAGCTAGTTTGAGAGGTGGTGGAGTGAGAGATGACAGGTCACTCACTGACTTAGCTGATCTCATATGGTAAGTAGGAAGCAGTCTGCCAACAAACAAGGGTAAGGATGTTATGGAAGAGAGAGTCGAAGTCTTAGCTGTGTGACACTCCATTGAGTGGGCAGCAGGGATGCACTGTGGTTGCAAACAGTTGAATGGTGCTGTAGTATCTGGTGAAAGGTGGGGAGAATCAGGAGGGGAGAGTATGGAAAGAGATGGTTGGAACAGGGCCAGGCCATAGATTGCTGGCCACAGGTTGGGACTTAACTTGTAAGTAATGCCTGTTCAAGAAATTACAAAGCCCAAAATGTGCTTTTTATGTCAGTGGGTTTCAACTAGGGGCATTTGAAAATGCATGGGAGTATTTTGGGTTGCCACGGCAACTTCCATTTACTGTGCAGGGCTAGAGATGTTAAATGTTTGTGTGTGACAGTCTCACACAATTGCAGGATATCTGTAGTAGTCTTGTTGAAATGTAGCCTAGTGACTTTTGATATTTGCATTTCAGTGAAATACATTACCAGAATTTATTATTATGAATTCTCTTCCAAGATTGCGTATGGAAAATGCATACACAAGATGGTACTACTTTACATTTTGGTTATATTTTACATTTGAACAGAAAAATGAGAGCCCTGAGGGAATAGAAGGCAGAAACACTGGCAGATAATTTGGAATAAGATAGCAGTGGGTTTAGAAGACTGTTGTATGAACAGCATTGACCATCAGGAGCAAAAATTAAAATGTCTTTGGATTTCTCGTTTCATTTATTCTGTACAACAGTGATTGAAATCATGATTTGTTATTTGAGAATTGTTGAGCACCTGCTGTCGGTCAGGTTCTGTGCTGGATTTTAAAGATGAAAAGCCAGAAAAATTTGGTCTTTGCCCTGGTAGAACATACAGTTTAGTGGAGGAAAAATCAAGACATTGTAACAGGTTGACAGCCAGTGTAGGCAGTGTGCTGTACCAGCAAAGAGGAGGTACACTGGGCAGGCCAGGGAGGAGGGCTCTGTTTAGGCAATCAAGAGAGAATGAGGCAGAGTTGGGGAAAAGTTTCCAAGTGTACATTTCCTAGACAAGCTTGCTGCAATATAAACTGCAAATCATTCTTTTCTCTTTTTACACTAGTTTCCCTGTCTGTAAGACAGAAACAGTAATAAATCCCTGAATGTATCTTGAAAAATTGAACACATCTAAAAGCCCTGAAGCGTTGGCTTTTTCTTGCCTCTCTCTTTTTTTTTTTTTTTAAACAACTGACTCTGGGGATTCTTAGGGATTGGGAAAGAGCTGTTAGATCACCTGGAAGGCCTTTTCAAACTATACAGCTCCCAACTCCCCTTTCCCTTTTCTAGGTGTTACCATTGTAGCGGACTGCTGGTAGCACGCTTCTGTTACTTGGTCACTGTGATCTCAGTTTTCTGAAGGCAGAAAAAAGATTGAGGTCTGCTGGTGAACACTGTTCTTCAAAGATGTCATCTCCTAGCATATTTTCTTCTCCTTACCAGTTTCTGACTGATTTAAGTATGTAGCTGAGCTCAGATCTCTCACATCTCAAGGAAGCATTGCTAGTGTTGGTGCCTGCTTTGTTTGCATGGCAGGCTAGCAGTTTATGAGGGTTCTGTCTTCTTTCCCTATTGCTAGTGATCCACTGATGATGTCTAGCGAGAGTTCTGCTTCTTGTTTCTCTCCCAGGTATCCCTGCTGGAGTACCGAAAACGGAAACAAGAAGCCAAGGAGAATTCTGCTGGTGGGGGAGGTGACTCTGCACAGAGCAAAAGCAAGTCTGCAGGAGCTGGGCAAGGCAGCAGCAACTCACTTTCTGACACTGGTGCCCATGGTGTACAGGGATCCTCAACCCGAACTCCATCTTCCCCTCACAAAAAATTCTCCCCATCTCATTCCTCTATGTCCCATATGGAGGCGGTAAGCCCATCAGATTCCAGAGGCACTTCATCTCACTGCAGACCTCAAGAGAATATCAGCAGTAGGTGGTAAGTTTATGTTTGATGCTGAAATAATTAAATTCAAGAGGGAAGTATACATCTAGAATCATTCCCAGTTTTACCTAAAATGTATGGGAATACTTATCTGAGAAAGGCAGCCAACAGTGCCGTCCATGCTGTGCAGCTGATTTAATAGTATCAGCCATGACCCCTCCCCCAACCCCCTCAGCTTTACAGAAGCAAAGACTTGCCACCGAACCTGCAGAACAGCCCTTTGGACGCCATATAGTTGTGGACACAGATGAGCTATTTTATTTGCTGGGCACTAACACTGCCTCTTCTTTTTTTCATTTCATATGAAAGGTAAGTCAGGAGTTGAGATCAGTTCCACTTAAATTACAACAGAAGTCTCAGTTGCACGCAGCTAGCATGTACGAAAGATAAGACATATTCTGAAAGGACTTCTCTGGTTTAGGGGAGACCACCAGTAGATAAGTAACACTGTAAGTAAATAAATAATAAATCGTAGCAAGTATTGAGCATCAAATGAGAGATCTTGAACTAAAGCAGTGAAGTCTGGGAAAGAAGAGTCCTGATTCAAATGAGTGATGTTTATTAATCTATAGAGCATTTATTAAGTTACTACTATGTGCCAGGCACATGACTTGACAGAAGAGAAAAATTTAGCATTTCACAATAGGGGTTAAATGCAGACATCCTTAAATTCCTCTTTTCTGTAGTTTAAGGCAAGAGAAAATACCTTGTTTAAAATTGGTCCTGAAGAAAATAATGTCTAAGAGGATGTTGTAAGAGAATGCATTGTACAGCCTTTGTCAGAGCTTCGTTTGTTCCAGACTCTTGACTCTGAAGTCTTGTGGCATAAACTTCCACCCTGTTCCTTTTACAGGATGGTTCCCACGTCAGTGGAACGACTCCGAGAAGGAGGGAGCATCCCCAAGGTTCTCCGAAGCAGTGTGAGGGTGGCCCAAAAAGGGGAGCCTTCTCCCACGTGGGAGAGTAACATCACAGAAAAAGACTCAGGTGAGCCCATGGCCTTCTGCTGCCAGCCAGGTTTAGGGACACACGAGCCAGGCTCTACACTAAGTGCTCACCAAATGCTGGACTGAGGCAAGTCAGTTTCTTATGCAGTTAGGCTCCACTGGAGGGAAGGTTCCAGGTCAGTCTTGCTTCCACTCTTCTGGGCTACAGCATTCTTAAGATCTTGCATCCATTAACTGTTCTCTTTCTTTCTCTCTCTGTCCCTCTGTCCCTCTCTCCCTTTCTCTCTCTCTACCTCTCTGTCCCCCTCTCCCTCTCTCTCCCTTTTTCCCAAGAGATACCTTCTGTAACTCTTCTCTGCAAAGGCCTGGAAATCCATTTTGATGAAGGATAAAGAGAATGAGACAGGAGTCAGACAGGCATTTAAAACATCGCCCATAATTAACCACTCCATTTGCCCCCTCTGGCATGCTGCACTCACCTGATTTGCCAGAAAGAAAGCAGCGTGGGTTGGTGATAGCATTGGTGATTTGAATGAACAATGGCTATTTCTCACTTATTCTAGGAAGCCAAGTTGATTTTGTATTATCTTCCAGACCCTGCAGATGGAGAAGGCCCAGAGACACTGAGCTCAGCACTCTCTAAAGGAGCAGCCGTTTACAGCCCTTCCAGATACAGCTACCAGGTGAGACGAGAAATTGCTCATCTCTGGGCATAGGAGTATATTCTGGGTTCCAAATATTTTGTGATCCTGGCCATCCTTTGCAGTTGAGATGCCGCCTTTGCATATAGTTTCAGCAGCCTTGGAAATAAGTCATCATCTGCTCACCTTCAGGTAATAAATCATGCCAGAAAAATAAATAAAGTGATCAGAGACAGCCATTTTACTGTCTTTGGTATCCTAAAAAGAACAAATGGTTAAGAAGATGAAGAAGATGAAGAAGGAGGAGGAGAAGAAGAAGAAGAAGAAAAAGTAGGGTATTTTAAATATTCACAAGCCTAAATGGCTTAAATAGGGACTTTTTCACCTCCTTATGCTTTTCCTCCCGACTCTTTCTAGCTCCTGCAGTGTGATAGTCCACGGACAGAATCACAAAGCCTCCTTCAGCAGAGTTCCTCCCCCTTTAGAGGACATCCCACCCAATCTCCAGGATACAGTTATCGAACTACTGCACTGAGACCTGGAAATCCCCCCTCTCACGGTTCTTCAGAATCTTCCCTCTCTTCTACGTCCTATTCCAGCCCCGCCCACCCTGTATCCACAGACTCGTTGGCCCCATTTACGGGGACACCAGGGTATTATAGCAGCCAGCCACATTCTGGAAACAGCACTGGCAGCAATCTTCCAAGGAGGAGCTGCCCTTCTAGTGCTGCTAGCCCTACCCCACAGGGCCCCTCAGACTCGCCGACCTCAGACTCGGTCTCCCAGTCCAGCACAGGAACTCTGAGTTCCACCTCCTTCCCTCAGAACTCTAGGTCGTCATTGCCATCAGACTTACGGACTATCAGTCTGCCCAGTGCTGGGCAGTCTGCTGCCTACCAGGCCTCCAGGGTATCTGCGGTTTCCAATTCACAGCACTACCCACACCGTGGGAGTGGGGGTGTACACCAGTACCGACTCCAGCCGCTGCAAGGGTCAGGAGTCAAGACTCAGACAGGACTTTCCTAGGGCTTCTGGATTTGGGCAAACAGAACTGAATGAGCCCATAGCTGCTTCCTTCCAGCTGCCTCTGGAACCTAGGCCGAGCATATTGCTGGGGAAGAGGGTACAAGGTGCCAGAGGACTGGGTCTGGTCGACAAGAAACGAGACTTGTGGTCGCGACTGGCTCTGGCCTTGGAGAAAGATGTAAATCTTGTCTGAAGCAGAGACTATAAAGAAGTTTCTCCCTGCTGTTAAGGGTACATTGTTGACAAGCAAATGGTGTTCCGGTTAGTAACGGTTCTAAGTGCAATGAGTCGTGTTGAAGCCTCTGTCTCCTGTCCTTGCCTGTAGCCTGTAGTCACTTGTGCAGTGGGGACATCTTTTTACACACACACACACACACACACACACACACACACACCCTCCCCCCCAAAAAAAGAAGTTTTCTTTTCAGAGGAAAAAAAGTCAGAAGAGCCAATCTCAGAGCCCCAAGCCATCTGAGTAGTATTAGGGTTTTTATGCACTTAAGAAGAAAGGTAGGTATGGAAATGTTTGCCCTGTGACAACTATTCCCAAAGCAGGTATCTGGCCGAGATGTGTCCACCAAGAATACTCCCTACTTTGTCTTAAAATCACTAAGAAATAGGCAGGGATGGCAAAACTTGGAATGTGCTCTGGCTGAGGGGTGCCTGGCTCTCTGAAGAAGAGCTCCTGGTCAACTCTTGTGATTCAGGAGCAGATGATCATAGTAGATTGTCTGAGCCCCCAGCTGTTCCCACCCTTCTCCCCTCCCCAAGCTGTCTCACAGCTCAGTAACCCAGAAAGGAAGTAGGCAAAGAAAAGAGAAATAAGTGAGATGGGCCAATTGCATTGCTACTTATCAGCTGTTGGCAATAAATTTGATTAGCAAGGATCCCAAGTGTTTTGGGAATTCTTTGAATTTTATTTTTTCTACTCCCAGTTAATCAGGAGTTGATGATCCCGTGAATAGGACCACCTCCATGATTAGGGAGCACGCACTTGTGACTGCAGGGTAAGAGTGGAAAGATACATTTGTGGAGTGGCACCGACAGGACTGTGATTGTGTGTGGGCATGTCCCACATTTCTTTGGGGGATGCTTATTTGAGAGTGGCCCAGGTGAGAGAGTTAAAAAGCCACCCACACACCTAACACTGTTCTGGATGAGAGACTCGAGCAGACTGGCTTCTCCCCATCAGTGCATTGTGCCTGTTGTACACCCCTGGAGGAGCCCTGGAGCCTGCCCAGGTGGGGTACACAATCTTTTTAAATTCCATACGGTTGCCAGCTTATTTCTTTCACTTGTTTACTGTAATATCTGGCGTGTTTTTATTTATCTAATTTTGTATTCAGTTATAACCATGGTAGGGGTAGCAAATATATGACAGGTGTAATCCCTGGTGCTGCAGTGGACCTTACTTCTTTTCTTTTGGACAAGATAATACTGTGAGTCTCCCTCCTTCCTTCCAATTTGTTTTCTTCTTTTTTTCCCCAGCCTCTTGCATCCCCTTCTTTTCTACCCTCTCCTACAACTATCATATGCACAGTCTTCTCTCTTTGTGTGTGACTGTTACAAAATTTCACTTTTTCAAAATTGAAATCAGGTGTTTGCTCAAATGAGGGGAGATTTTTTTTGTTTTGTTTTAATGCTGAAACCTCAGCAGAATACTTTTCTTTTTGTTGTTTCCCCCACAAACCCATCAGTCTGGGAGAGCGTTGGGAGTGGAAATCATGTTGCCTGGGATGCTGGTTTCTTTGTATATTATATAAAACGTATGTAAATGTCTCTCCATTTGGGCTGGGGTTTGCATTCTCCCCTTGGCTTTAGCCAAGGGGAGAGGCCAGCGGGCAGGCGGCCCTCACCCTGCCTGGCACGTGCAGAGACCCCAGCCACTCTGTGTGGGCAGGGTGCTGTCAAGACCAGACCTCGGGGGGGGGGGGGGGGGGGGAAGGGTGGGGGGAACTCTTGGAAGGGAAGAAGTATCACTTCTTTCTCAAGTGGAGTGTTTACACCTTGCTGTAACATTTGAACTTTCACAAGAGATGTAATAATTTTGATAATAAAATTCTTAACCATAATAATCATAAAGTTGAGAACTTCTTTGTCCAATTCTCTGACGTTGCCTTGCCTGGTTTTCCTACTGCTACCCTTACCTGAAGAGGCATATGCTCTTGGTGGGGTTGTTTTGCGCATAATGGACCAGGAATATGGATTGATCATCCTTTAGCCTTTTATGATTCAAGTCAGGTCAGTATCAAGGCCATTCAGCAACAGTGAAACTAAACGTAACATACTGATTTGAACCGGACTGGAATTCCTGACCTTGGCCTCATTCATTCAGCAGCTATTTATTGGCCCTCTTCTTTCCCACTCAAAAACTACCAGGCATTTGTTTTTGGTGGTGGGTTTATGCTGATTAAAATTTGAAGATGGAGATAGGCAAATAAGGTTTCATGGAGCTTATGTTCTAGAGTGGGGTGAGAACTAAACCAGTCAGTGATTTCAAATCGTCATTACCATGTTATTGTTTCACAGCAGAGACGTAACTAAGGAGGTTGAAGGGACACTTTAGGTTGGTTGATCAGGACAGGTCTCTGAGGAGTTGACATTTAAGCAGAGACCTCAATGATGAGGCAGTTACGTGTCAATATAAATAAAGATAATTGCAGGGAATTAGAAGAGCAGGTGCAGGAATAGACTTGATATAGTGAGTGACCAGGACAGAGATAGGGGGTAGCCAATACCCAGGAAGGTAGGGCATCAGATCACGTAGAGCAGGGGTCAACAAAAGTGTTTTCTGTAAAGGGCCAAATAGTATTTAGGCTTCACAAGCCATATGGTCTCTGTCACAACTGCTCAGCTCTGTCTTGCGATACAGAAACAGCCACAGGCCCTACTTGCCTGTGCTCCAATTAAATTATATTCACAAAAACATGTGGCAAGTCAGATACGTCCTGCAGGCTGTAGTTTGCTATTCCTGATAACAGAGCCTTTTGGGTTTAGTTTAAAGAATGTGGATTCTAAATACACTGGGAGGGGAGCCTGGGTGGCTCAGTCAGTTAAGCATCTGCCTTCGGCTCAAGTCATGATCCCAGGGTCCTGGGATCGAGCCCCAGCCCCTCATCGTCGGCCAACTCCCTGCTCAGTAGGGAGTCTGCCTCTCTCTCTGTCCCTCCCCCTGCTGGTGCTCCCTCTCAAATAAATATTTACAAAAATATACAATGGGAAAGTCACTGCAGGATTTTAGGCACAGAAGTGACATGGTCTAGTTTATCGTTTGTTGTTGGTCGGTTAGTGTTTAAAAATTACTGTTTTGCTCCTGGGAGAGATGAAGAGAAGCCAGGAAACCAGTTGGGAACCTATAGCAGTTATTCAAGTAGGGGGCAATACAATGGCAGCTTCTGCTAAGATGGTAACAAAACAGGGATAAGGTGAAATAGTTGGAATCAGGATACATTTTGCAAGTAAACAGCAGTGCTTGCTAATGGATTGGTATGGCAGTATTTTGCGCTAACATTTGTTTGACAGATACTTACTGAGGGCTATGATAGACTGCATTTTGCTAATAAGCACATGAGGGATTTAAAGATGGAGAAGATGCTGTCCATTTCTTTAAGGAGCTTAGAAAATTACTAGTTGATGACATAAAAATTGTTTTTTTCTGGGGCGCCTGGGTGGCTCAGTCGGTTAAGCGTCTGCCTTCAGCTCAGGTCCTGATCCCGGGGTCCTGGGATTGAGCCCCACCCGCATCAGGCTCCCTGCTTGGTGGATAGCCTGTTTCTCCCTCTCCCTCTGTCTTTCCTCCTTGCTCATGCTCTCTCTCTCGCTCTTGCTCTCTCTCTCACTCTCAAAATCTTTAAAAAAATAAAAGCTTCTTTCCTTAAAAAAATTTTTTTTTCTTAGAAGATCCTTTTCTAAACTGGAATACCTAGATAACCTTCCACCAGCCACAGCTGAATTCTGCCTGGAGTCAGTAGGTGCCTGGTCCTTGTTAGAAAGCATTTTCATATACAGTGCCTTATTTGGTCTCATAATTCTGTGATAAAAGCAAGTCAGATGCTTTTTAAAGATACATGTAAAGATGAGCAATTGAGGCCTATTTCAGTGTTTCAGCTGTACTGAAGAGCTTCTGATAATGAATAAGCCCATCTGATTTTTGCCAGAATTGAAGGTTCTATTCTTTAATTGCTTACTGAATACGTACTATGTGCCAGGCTACATGTAAGGTACAAGGAATATGAAGGTGAGTAAGACAGCCAACTACCTATGTTATCAGGTACTTTATATTGCTAGGTGCCACACTTTTTATATGGTATAAATAGAGGAAGGCAAACAGGACTAAAGAAGTATGCTACTGCACCTTCTATATTTGACTTTACAGTTTACCAGGCTCTTCTATTCATGTCATTCTATCTCATTCATGCTTAACAATGTGTAAGGTAGGTGTCACTCCCATTTTACAGGGGTTTTTTAATGATTTTCAGAAGATACAGCTTGTCCAAGATTTCTCTCTTCTGAATGGCAGACTGGACAGCCTTGGAAATTTTACAATTTTTCCAGGAAACAAATATAGACAACTAGAGATTCTGTGAAACTGACCACAACTAATCACTTAACTAGCTGAAGAAGTCTGTCATACCCCTTCCTATCTTAAAAACAGCAGTCTAGCCTTTTGGCATCAGTTTGATGGTGCAGGTTTCTGTTTAATTAAACAGAAATCACCCTGAAGTAAATAAAATGCACGATTGTCCAAAAGGAGTAGACCCTTTGCTTTGAAACTACCCTGATTATCAATTCATCAATCAGAGCTGGGGCAGCCTCCATGATCTGCTATGAGGCACAGAGAGAAAAGAGTTTGCCAAAGTTCTTAATATACTGTGTGCTAAAGGTTGATAAAGAGAACAACTTGGTGAAAAGCAGTTACTGGAAGAGATGGTGCCCCCTGTAACTTTTACCTGCTCCTACATTCAAAACTTAACCTGGCAGAGATTCTCAAATAATACTAATGAATATTTCTCTTATTCCCCATAAGAACACATAGAGCAGTCATGATAACAAAACAAAACCTTGGGCAACTCCAAAACAAAAACGGTGCCTGGGTGCCTCAGTCAGTGGAGCATGTGACTCTTGATCTTGGGGCCGTGAGGTCAAGCCCCACATTGAGCAGAGAGCTTACTTAAGAAAACAAAACAAAAAAAAAACGGGCAACTTTACCAAAAAATTAGGTATCCCTGTGAGCCCTGAAACAAAACGTGGGTAGAAAGAAACTGCCAATAGCCACAATACCTGCATGGTATCCCCTTCTGTTTCAGAGGAAGCCATGGAGCATCTGATTGCTCTCAGAACTCTAAAACAAGTACTCACTTGGAAGTTGAGTGTACCAGTTTGAGAACAACAGCCAAAACTGTTGTACAGAGGATGCCTGCTTGGGTCTG